GAAAAAATTTGAGTGATTACATATTTTATTTACAAAAAGTATTTTAAATTTTGAGAAAAAATTGAATTGTATATCAAAGTTTCAAAATGTAAATTTGGCAAATCAATAATATATTACTTGGATCATAGAGTTACATTTGTAAGAATCCAAGTAATAAGTGAGAAGATAAAAGACATTCAAAAATGGATATCATTTGAATATCAACCTCAATTGAAGAGGTTTCTAAAGCTTATTGGATTTTATCGTAAATTTGTGAAAGATTTTTCTCGTTTAGTTCACGTTTTACTTACATGCTAGGGAATGGTAAAAAACATAGATGAATATCTACTCCAGAATTATATTTTGAAACATTAAAAGATGTTTTGTTACATACAATTATATTCAAATGATATGATTTTAATTGCTCTATCAAGTTGATTACGCATGTATCAAATATAACAGTGTGTGACAAACTTCAACAAGAATGAGAGTGTAAGTGCATTACAATTCTTTTCTATTCTCAAAAGTTGGTGGCAATGGAACAAAATTATCTAATAACAGAATGAAAAAAATTAGCCATTATGTTGATTACGAAACACTAGAAGCAATACCTAGATGATAAAGAGCTTGTGGTGTATAAACAACAAATTTGATGTTCAAATTGACGTCAACGCTTCAACATGAAGATTGTGTATGTGGAGGGCAAGAAACAACTAGCGAATCCTCTCACACCAATGATTTTTATGAATGATTCTAACCATCTTTAGTAAATTAAAACTAAAATGGAAATTATTCAAGATTGAGTAGACTTGATGATAGTGGAATATTTACAATGTTACATGAACAATCCCTATGTTAATAAGTGTGTTAGTTTGGAATGACATGTCATCAATCCGTGTGCTTGTTAAGTACAGTAAGGATTGAATGTGCTAGTTAAGAACAACACGTCAACAATCTGTGTGCTCATTAGTTACATTTGTCATGTCATCAATATACTATAAAGAGATTGGATGATCGAGAAAAGATCTTATATTTGTGTATGTGTTTGAACTATCTATATAAGGAAGAGAAGAATCATTCAAAAATATATCTTCAAAGTTTATGTTTCATCTTTTCTATAAATCTTAGTGTTACAGGCATGTTACAAAATTGAAGATTCAAACCAATTGATGGAGCAAGATGACACATATCACAAAAGATGATGAAGATATCATGAGTACACTACAAGTTAGAATGGCAGAAAAGTCTAAAGGTTTGATGTTATACAAACTGCGTATATGATTTTTGCAAGACCAAGAATTATGCTCAATGATTTTATTCAAAAATCATGATATAAACATTACAGATCATGTGGAAATGCAAAATTTCTTGAAAAACATTCAATGAATTTACTTATGATCTAAACTCCAACAGGATGTTGAAGCTTGGGTTTGAAATTGTCTTGCTTGTGAACAAAATAATGCAAATAATCAAAAACCAACTAGCTTATTACAACCTCTAGCTATTCTTAAACAAAGATGTTGACATGTTTCCATGAATCTTATATGTGACATACAAAAGAAGTTTTAAAAAAATTATTCAATGTTGATTTTTATGAATAAATTGAACAAGATGATTCACATATGTTAATAAAAATAATAATGAGGTTCCACAACTTGCTCAATTGTATTTAAATGTAATTTTTGTGATTGATAGATCAAGCAAAGTTTTAATCATTCACTTATGATCAAACATAGAAAGATAATAGAATTATAGACTATATGTTACAATCATTCAATTTAAGTATGCAAAAATAGTGAGATATTCTATTATACTTTGTGAAATTTTCACTAAAAAATTCTATAAATGCATACTCAAAGATGTATACAATCTATTTCATGTTTGGTGTTCATATCATTTTTTCATCAAGTTTGATAAAACTTTTGAAAGTACATTATTTCTCAACAAAGAAGTCGCGATCAACAGGTTTGTGGAGCATGAACACAAAGTACTACATCAAATAAAGTAGAAGTTGGTGATTGCTTAAAATATACAAAAACATCATGCAGATGCTTATCTACTCATTTTGACTTAGTTACTATTAAAATAAAGATTAATCAAAATTAAATTATAATTATTATATTAATCATTATTGTCACATCAATGATAGTCATTCAACAATATGTTTATTTGTTAGGGTCATCCGTCATATCATATTCATTAGGAATAGAATTGATAGTGCAGATGAGATATTATATTTTTGTATTTGTTGGTAAGATCTGAATAAAAATAGATGAATTCATTGTTGGTTAGTTTTACAATTTATGTTTTAATTCGAATGAATTTGTTTAAACTCTAATGTTACAAAAGTAGAAAGCAATCCAAATGATATTAGATATTCACAGAAAAAAATACAAAATAATTTATATAGATAATAACATGTTGATACGAAATGAAATAAATTTTTTTAATCAATATATGATGTAAGTTTGAAAAATTAATTATATATTAAAATTTTGGAAACATAAAAAAATATTATTTTGAGATTCTTTAGACATCACAAAAGTCATTTTTTTAAGCATGTATATTAGATTATTATTTTTTATTGATTATGAAGATTTTTTGACTTCATAAAGTTCACATATTTCACTATAAGATCATAAACTTGTGAAGGTTGAAATATTTTTTACAACAAGACAGAAAGTTTAATCTAAAAAATTTATACTTATTTCTAAGATTTTGAATTGTTGGTAATTTAAAGAAATTCAACTCTTTGATAAGAAAAAGGTATTTTTAATTCAAAAAATTTACTTGAATTTTTAAACTCATAAATAGTAAGAATAACCGTGCAACATTTTGCAGATTTTAATTTAGAACATCTATTTGAAAATTTTATCTAAGTTTGTTAAGAATAAACTCATAGTTTATTCTACTTGTGAAATTTTAAAAAATATATTTTAACTTAATGTTACAGTTCAAAGATTGATAATGAATATTTTTTTCAAATATTTACTCAAAAGCAAACATATCATCTGCATGTTTGGATTGGATGTTACAAAAACATCTAATATACACACTTGTATATTACTAGTTAAGTTTTTTATACCTAGCTCATTGTATAATCATAGAATTTTATTTGATGGGAATCATCAAAACTCAATTGCTTGATGAGATTCATCAAATTTCATTTTACCCCACCAATGTCGCGAAGTTTTAAAATATGTTCATGTACACATATAATGAAAACTTTAGTGGAATTGTGAAATTTCAAATTGCTACTATCGCAAATTCAACAGAATTTTGTCAAAATTTTCGATTGAAATCTGCCGTTGGATGTAAATTTTGAGGTGTCAACTTTGCTTGCGTAACTCGTGATCGCTTGCTGTCTGTTGAATTTACTGTTCAATTGATTTGACAATATGATTGATCAAGTGAAATTTGACACAAATTTCACTTGATCTGTCAAAGCAATTAACACATTTCGATGCTGTCTAACCTCGCTTTTGGTTCGTAATCTGCCTGTTGTCCCTTTGAAATCAGATCTCTCTTCGAATGAAGTCAAATTTTTCAATTAATGATGAAATTTTTTGAAAGTATTGGTGTTAGATCCGACACCTTTAGCGATAAAACCTTTCTTTTGGTCGTAGAGCTGTGAACCCTCGATTTAACTGTTCTATTTTTCACTCGTATATGAATTTTGTCCAAACCACCAAACAATATCATGCAAAAATTGTGTTGCTCGAAACGCGATTTAAACCTTGTGGTGCCAAAATAAGCATGTGATATCAGTGTAAACAAAACTTAAAACTTATCATTGAGTAATTTAGGTTCATATGGAGTCTCGTAAAATAAATAACTCAAAATCATACCATGATGTGATTGATTATTGTCACTATCTACAACTTTTCATTCATCCATTCAAACTTTCAACATTAATTTTCTGAATTCCATATTACCATATTTCTCCTCTTCATATTAGATCAAAGATGTAAATGAGATAAAATGGACAAATAATGTATAACATGCACATTGTGGATTAATAAGTTCTTTAACATAAAGCGCACCATGATTATCATCTCTGCATTGCCCACTCATTGTTATGTTAAGAATTGAACAGCGAAGTTTCATTTTTGTCAAAAATTTAAAAACAAGAATCTCTTGTACTTGAACAATTATATAAGTTGCTTAAGTCATAAGAGAAATAAAATCTGCAATATTGTTCATTGACTTGTTCTTGTGTCTTTCTTCACGATTCTCTTTGCAGAAACAAAAGCATTCATTACCTGCAAGGCATTAGAGAAGCATTTCAGATAACGTACACATCTAGTTATTTAAATAAAAAAACCTAACAAACCAATTAATACATAAATTAAAAAACCACATCCTAGAATTTACCAGCAAACTGAGATGATTCCACACATTCAGATCTTTGCCACTTTAATTTGAAGACTCAACAGATAGCACGACAAGCAGAACACCTTCAAGGAAATCACAAGTAACATTTCACGCAAATTCATCAGATTCTACAAAATTTTACTGAAATTTGTCATAGTTGGAATTACGGGCAAAACCTTGTCTAAGCCTTACAACCATCTTCACAGTCGTCATAAAAAAAGTCCTCCCAGATGTTGGTCGATATGATTCTCGCCCTTACACCATGACAAAGTCCGCTCAGAGACACCTTTTCGGGGAATCACGGTATAATTAGGTCGACAACATCTGAGTGCTTGGATCTTCCTCGCCTTCCAGTTTTCATTACGTTGCTGAAGCTACTGAAGGTGATGCCCTACCGAAATTGTAATGGAAGGTTTGCAAACCATGAAAGAGCGTCTCATAAACCAGATGCAGTAGAATTATATGTCACAACTGGTTACTTCTGAAATGTCCCCGTGCTTCGCATTTCGACCTTCAAACTATGATGACGCCACCGTGTGCAGATGCAATCTGAAAAGCGGAATTGGGGCAGTTTTCAAAAATGCTCACATTATACAGAAAGTCAGTGTTTTATACGACACAGTTTTCGAACACGATAGTAACGGCAAACATACGCCGATAGACAAAGATGAAGCATTGGAGTTGAAAAGCTGGAATGCGAATGATCTTCTCATGCCCACCGAATGTATTAGACAAATGGCATTCGAGCGATTGAACGCTTCAGTCAATGAGAAGCGGTGCAGCTCGGCTGGAATCGTCTGTATCCAACACGCCGTTGATCTTGAGTCTCGCCAATGCACGTGAACGAACACTAAAAAGCTCTTCTAATGAGAGAGAATGCGGAGGATGCCCTCCTTCCACTATGTATCAAAACTGAACAAATGCCGCATCTATGGTAGCGAAAATTGGCTACCCTTTTGACTCATCAATTACGAAACCCCCTCCTCGGCCCGACTAGATTGGCCGACCTATCTGCCGCTCTCGATCCAAAAACTCGTAGAGATGCCCCTTTGCCAAGTGGCAATCACGGGGGTTTTGCTCGGCAAACGGAGTAGGAAAACATCCGGAAAGATCAATGACCACTTCGAGGCCGCCTGTTCCTAGGCCGGGTGATTCTTGAAATAGGATCCCTCTCGACGATGTCAGGGACAAAATTGGCCTGCATGCGAGGACCATTCAGAAATACATATGCGAACAAAGACATCGTGGCCCAGAACGACATTCTCCACAGTATGCCTACGCCTGGATTTTCTCGTCTTACACCATCGTCGACCTCGGATCCCGTATCGTCCTCGTCCTCGGACACGTCTTCGGTCGTCCTGGTCAACAATTTCTTCATTTCAGTCTTCACCCTCGCCCCGATGCTCAAAGGTAATTTCTGTCGTTCTCGTAGCCCTTGCTCCCGACGCAATTGCTCCAGCCTCCGCTCCATGTTCCGTCTCCGCTCCATGCTGCGGATGCGCTCCAAACCACTTCGACCCTCAGGACCACTGGCAGGGTCCACATCGCGCTCGAAATTCCTCGGTGACTGCAAATGCCCTCGATCGCTCATTCCTTTTAATTATCAGCGGCGATTAGGGGCCCAATCTGTACCTGTCACAAACACATGTGCACTCGTCTCTCTCGATGTCGAGACACTGACTGTCAAAGTGCTTGGCGCACTCTGTCTCCCAAACGCTCGAACCTTTTGAACTCTTTCCACTCCCCAGGTCGAAGTTTAGAGGCGAGCGAACAAATTCTGACTCTCAAATTTGGCACGCGAGACGGAAACGAATGCAATGAGATACTTTCCACGAGAAGAAATCCTGCGGGGCACCACAAGAACGTCATTGATCAGGACGAATCCGAGTTGCAAATCCGACCCCTTTCCGGTTTTAATTTATCGTCATGACGATAAAACTACTCCACATGAAAACCAGAAAAGGCTCGACCATAGCAAGATCTTCCGACAAGGCAGTCAATTCGATCAGAGCTTGAGATATAAGGCCGCGCGGCAGCCCTGACGACATGGAAACTTCGAATTAAACGAGAAACACGATTCGCACCAACCCGAGCCCTGGAACCAGAGGAAATCGAACCGCAGCGGACAAGACCTAAATCCGAACTCACCTCGGGACGAACAATCAGACAGCGCTCTGTGCTGGCCTAGCTGAGCGATCGGAACAGCGAGAGCATCGCTGCACGCGAGCACAGATCCAGAAAATGTCGGACCACCAGATCATTCGCACGCCGCCGGCGCATCTTCGCTGAGAACTCCTCGCGAGTTGTCTTCGTCCTGCTCCGGCTCCGGCGCCGGTAGCCAACCGTGTCGCAGCAGGTCACAGACGAAGCCAATTACGAGCTGAATGGTCCGCGCTGACGTGCCGCATTATAAGTCGTTGTCTTGTCTTCAGCAGAATCAGAGAACGAGTCTGCGTCGACGATGGATATCATGCTCCCGGAGTCCAGATCGGCAGCAGCACACGTGGCGATCCACGTGTGCTGCTCTTCATCCTTGTTTACGGGTTTTCATATGCTTTTGCCCATTTTGATTTCGACGGTGACTCCACTTTTAGCAGGGCAGAATCCTCTGAAGTGAAACACCAGCATGTCATCCTATCCCTCGAGACCTCAAAAATATTTATATTTAATGTGTGGATTTATATGATCCAGGCATCTGGGCTTTATCCGTACAAGATATCATGGATGGAAACAACAACAGTGCCTTTTGTCCTTCATGTTCCTGTATGTGCCCACAGTCCTTATTCTACACATCATGACCTTTTGTGAAGGTCTTTGCCAATAATAATCTACTCCACAGACACATTTTGACATACCACGATGGGTGGAATGGCATAAGGGTTTCGGGTTTTATAAATGGATTACTTTTGGTGCTCATTAGGTGCTGGCAAGATAGCCCATCTATACTTATACACTTGGAAATTAAAACAAAAACCCAAGGAGTAATTTAGCGAATGTATGGTTTGCAACTAATTTTCTACACATTCTTGATCGCATTGCAAGCCGCCTTTGTTCTGATCCACGCAACGCCCAGTAATTTTCAGACGACGTAAAGTATCTCTCCTTAATGACACGTGAACGAGGGTGTAACATGGGATGTGAGATAGACTCGATTGTGTCGGTTTATCCAAAATCATTTTATACCCATGCAAACTATTGGGGAACCAAAATATAACTGAGCTTATTTTGAGTTGATGGGGCCGTGACGTGAAGGAAAATGGAACACAGGCCCCTGTCAAAGACCAACGAGAGAGCTTCCCGATTTAGTACTGTACCGCACTCGTCGCCCTCTTTCCTACACGGCACAGGGGTCCAAACTCGTCCCACTCTGGTACAGGCAACAGCTCTCCGTTCGCCTCTGGTCCGATTGCTCCACCGTTCTGCATTTTACACGGTTGATGCCACGTTCACCACAAACTGCGTAAAGTGCAGATTCGTACAGTCCAGACCCGGATCACTGTCCCTTCGGGGACATCCGATAAAATTGGAACGATACAGAGAAGATGACACGCAAAAATCGAGAAATATTAAGGTTCAATCGCTGGAAAAATGGTTTCCTGCGCAAACTGTCCCATCAAGGACTTGATGGATTATAGGAATTATTTTCGCGGTAGAGAATGCAGCAATGCTAGGACATGGAGCTTCGAACATTGCCAACGTACGGTGGAGGCAACGCACGACGGTCTTGCCCTTGTAATGTACCGAGCCGGGACCCGACTATTGGTCCGTGAGACCCGAAGCCAATCCGAGAACATATAATTAATTCATTAATATAGGAAACTTTAAGTTTAACGAACTGGAGGTTGGGGCGATTTTAAACTCCTGTAACCGGGTGCAACCTGTCGAAGGCGCCGTCGTCCTCACCGATCGACTCCGTCGCGCGTGGTCGGGCAGTAGTTCCCGACGGGAGCCGACCGGGTCCATGTGGACGGGCCAGCAGTGACGCCAACAGATGTGATCACGACTTGCAAGGGCGGGAGGTAGTACACGTGTCCACACGGCGCACCAGACCGAGGGGACGAGTGCCAAGTCGGATTGCGCCCGAGGAAGGAAGCTCAGGCAAGCGCAACCGAACGACGTCGAGGATCCTCGAGGACGACGATTGTGGAGGGCAAGAAATCGGAAATCTTGGCGCAGGGATCGTGGAATTGGCCGCTGTGGCAGACTTAGGAGCTCGGGCGGAGGACGATGCTTTCGAGCCGGCATTTCGTCAGTGGAGTCTCATCCATCCAAAGCCTCTCGCGCTCTGCAGGATGCGCGTCCTCCGATTGCCCTGCGGCGCTCGTGACGTCGACGTCGCCGAGGACGAGGAGGAGAATGCTTTGTTTTCCTCTCGTGGGACGGCCCAATTGCGCACTTTCCCCAATGCCGGCGTCTCTGCGGAATGACAGCTTCGAAGTTGGTGGTTTCGGTTTTGTTGAAACTCGCGGTTTGAAGCGGGATGCGCCTCTTACGACACCGCGAGCAGGAGGTGGCTCGGTGGACCTCGCGATCACCACAAATGAGCCCATTCACCTCATGGTTGTCTCCGACTTGGACTTCACCATGGTAATGTTCGCGCTCCCACCGCGTCGTTGTTAGTTGAATTAGACGATGCAGTTTTGGGTGGGGCTGCCGATGGGCAGCACTGAGAGTTCAGTGAGGTTTTGAGGTTCCGTGAGCAAATCCAGCTCTAGTTGCAGCTGGAACAGCGAGCTGCTCAGCTGCTTGAAACAGCAAATGTTTGTGGTAATTTTATAATGTTCTGTGAGAACGCGGCTGTTTTTTCTGAAGGTTTGTAAGCTGTTGGGATTTTCCTCGTTTCAAGGGTGTGACGGGTTCTACTGTTTATGTTTGCTCAGGTTGATCACAACGACTCCGAGAGCACGGATTTGCTACGGTTCAATATGTTATGGGCTGCAGACTATGCCCACAATTCTCTGTTGGTTTTCTCATCCGGACGATCTCCCGAGAAATACCAACAGCTTCGAAGAGAAGTACCGCTTCTGACTCCCGACGTGGGAATTTTCTCCGTGGGGACCGAGATACTTTACGGGTCATCGTTGGATCCCGACGTGGGATGGGAGAACTATTTGAATGAAGGTTGGAATCGTGATCTGGTTCTCGAAGAGGCCCAGAAGTTTCCAGCACTCAGATTTCAGGTCTTTTCCTCTACACTTCTTGACGTTCTTGCTTCTCTCTTTGAACCAACCTGCTCTCACATGTTCTTGGAAGCGTGGAACGAGAAAACTGACTGGCTGAATTCACTTATAACTTAATCCGAGAAGATATTTTCCAAAGCTAATACACCATGTTTCTTACGAAAACTTTGTTCGTAACCCACTGCAGGAAGATTCTGAACAGCGTCCTCACAAAGTCAGCTTCTTCGTGGAAAAGGATCTAGCAAAGGATATAGTGCGAGACCTTACTCAGAGGCTGAAGGACTGTGGGGTGTGCACACAATCTCCTTAGTCGCAAATCAGAAATGTCTGGCTCAAAGAATTTTGTTGTTGATCAGTGTAGCAGCTTTAAGAAGATGTAGGTTGTCAGTGCTGTATTCTGGAACTTGATAGTCAATAGAGCATAACAGCAATGATGCCTCTTCCGAGCCATGTCTATCAGAAGCATCAATTCCTAGACACCGATGTGTTTGCAGAAAACGATCTGGGTCTGATACTTCCACATCATTCTAAGCGATAGATATGTGTGGGGGAAGCAGCTGAAGGTGAAGTTGATATACAGTGGAGGCTATGCATTGGATGTGCTACCCCAAGGAGCAGGGAAAGGTGAAGCACTCGCTTATTTACTCAAGCAGCTGAAGGAGAAAAACAAGATTCCGAAAGAGACACTGGTTTGTGGAGACTCGGGAAATGATGCTGAGCTCTACACAGTCGAAGGTGTAAAGGGAGTAATTGTGAGTAAGAAATTTATAAGAGTCTTAATGAAACTTCTTGTCATTCGGACGTGATTTCTCAGATTATATTTTTCCGAGTTTAGCTCAAGGCTTTTTAAAGAATCAACTAAATTTGCATGGTGCAGGTAGGCAACGCAATGGAGGAGCTTCTTCACTGGTATGATGCTCTCCAATCGAAAGACCACATTTTTAAAGCCACTCAGAGGTGTGCAGGTGGAATTATACAGGCTATTGAGCACTTCGCCCTTGGTTCTTATGAGGTACCGGCGGACAGGATAAAGAACTCCAGTACAACATTTGACCCAGAAAGCTCAGATAGAAAGCCTGCAAGTGGTTCTGCTACAAGGGAAATTGTGGATGTCAATACTGCTCTAGTCATGTGGGTTAATGGTGACATTCCAAACACAGATGCTGCCCACAACCGCATTCTTGGTGTCATGGTATGTATTCTTGAAGCATGCAAGGATATCCTCAGTTGGTTTCTAGGAATTGTAACATTTAATGGTGGCTCCTCTGAAGTGCACAGAACTTTCGTACTCTGAATTTTGTCGCAGCATTTGACTAGTATTTATCGTAGATGTATCATCGGTGCCTGATGACTCTCTTGGTGTAGCCATAGCTCTAGATAACACTCCTTACTTCAAATTATGACCAACCAGAGTATTCACTCCACCGTCCATTCTTCAGCAATCCAAAAATTTGATCAGTTACTAAGGAAATAGCCACCTTCATGGTGTGTACTCTAACTTTGTGTTCTTACAGTCTACTAGAAATATGTATAGAGTTTATGGCTCAAACTTGAGCATGAAAATCCAACTCAAAACTGAATTTTAAGGTTGCTGATTAATGTTAAACCCTACTCAAGCTTTGAAGTAACTAAGTTGCTATATATGGTAGAAGTTAGTAAATATATTTACTCTTCACGATTTTTAATCTACTGCAAAATACGAAAAGGAACTGACTTTGAGATTAACAATCACATCAATCTCAATTATGGAGAAGGCAATTCAGTGCCATATTACTATGTAGGTCCTATGATTCTTTTGGAAGTGCACTAGTAAGCTCATCAGCAGCCATGTTCTCAATTGGAAAGCGCACTAATCTAACTATTCCTTCTTATGCTTTCTCCTCAACATACCTTCAACGCATAGGATGTTGAACAGTGATTTTAGTGAGTTCAATACCTCCAACGATATAGCTCATCGACGTATTTGGAGCTTGTTGAGTAAATCCAAGCTCACCCAACATCTTCTTGAATCAAATTAAATCTTAGATAGCCAATGAAAATACCATGATCTCATCTTGTGTTGCAGATAAAGCTACTGACTTCTGTTTTCTGCTCCCTCAATTGTTAGTTCGAAAATTAAAATAAACAAATAGTCACATTTGTACTTATTGTTACCATAATTAACTCAGCTATCATCACAAAATCCTTGGAGGAGAGTGGGCTCAGATCTTAATTTCTTTTATTTCAAATGAACGCCTTGATTGTCTTTAAGATATCTTAGCACCCTTTTGACACACCCCCAATGAGCTGGAGTTGGAGAATTAGTGTATCTGGCCAAAGCTACCACTGAATGAGCTATACGTGGTCAACTAAAATCCCTAGCAGACATAAGTGAACTTGCAGCACTTTGGTAGAGAGAGTGTAGATCCTCAATTGTCTGGTTGCTAATTGTACCCAGGATCCAAGGATTTTGCAACAGATTTTACATCCTTCATCTTATACGTTTGTAGAACACTCTCAACGTACTTGGTCTAGTTGATCTAATCCACTCTTCCTTCTTGTCCCTGTCAATGTTGATCCTAGTAGGAACTTAGCAGAACCTATTACTATCATCTTCAAAGCAGAGTTAATGTATCACATCTCTTACTACCTTGACTCCCTTCTTCATCAGTAGTAGATCATGTACATTTAATGCAATGTGAAGTATGCCAGCTCTCCTATACAGACTCAAATCTGAGTGTGTTCTCTTGAGAGACAAACTCAAAGTTCACCTTCACGAACTCCATCTCAACTTTTTAGAGATCCAACACTTTAAAGTTTTATCAATGCTCAAAGGAATAACCACTGGGAAGGTGCGTACTCAAAGTATGTGCTCACAAATGTCAGACTAGCAATTTATAAAGAGTTCAAACTCAAACCTGATCATGAGGTCCTAACTCAAAAACATAGTTTTAAGGTGGTTAATGCTTGGTGAATCCTACTTAAGCTCTAGAGTTATTTAGTACCTACTTATGGCAAAAGAAGATATTGAATCTTTACTTTTTACAATTTGAATATATTTTTGCGAAATACAGAGAAGAACTGACTTTGCGATAAACATTTATATCACAAAAGACCTTCAGTATATTCAAGTTTTGATTCGATTCTGCACAGGGAGTGAGAGTCAATTCCCTCCCATTGTTCTTTACATCTGCCCCAAAATGTTTTTTGGATAGTTTACGTAAAGTTCATCTACGGCTTGATCTTAACCACGCGTCTTTTCAGATAGTGAGATTAGATATTGCGTTTTTCAAATTTTCAAAAATGATCTTGTGTGAGGTGTATTTGCTTAAAATCAAGGCCTTTTTGGGATCTATTTCAGGCAGAGGATGGGACAATGGTGTATCCCTGGGGAGAAGAGAGGCTTTTAAGAAAGTCTGTGGTGTCTTACAAAAGCAAACACGGTTTGAAGAAAGACTCCAAAGTTCAAGTTTGGATGGACTGTATTAAGGAGCAAAAACTAGCCGACAACATCATTCTTGTCTCCTGGCAATCTTGGCAACAATCGACCAGTAAGTTATTTGTATACCATATCCTTCAATTTTGCGTATGTGAACATATCCATCCGAAAGAAGGCGATATACGTAGGGTGAAAGTTTCTAGATATTCTGTGTGAAAAGGACCACATTTCAGAAGACCAACCTTTAGTTGCCCAATCTGTTGTTATCGAGGAACATTTTACAAGTTTTGTTCTTCTCGAAGTGAGTAGTGAAAAGTTATAAACCTCGTTTGCAAAATATATAACGGTGCATCTGTTTTTGGCTGGAACAGGTGGAGAGAACCGGAAGGGTAACTTTGCCACTGCTATACTAAGAACCAAGGTATAACATGCTAGACCTGCCTGTGGACGTAGGACAATGCGCCAACACATGTGTCTCAAATATCTGAATGGAGATAGAGCAACTTTTACATTGGGACAACAATGAATATGGACACATAACGTTCTCGTGTTATTTTGTAGATGGGAACCCCAAATGGGTTGGAGTGGGTACGAGTGCACGAAACACCTCGACAATGTAACTGATATTTCTCGTGAGCCGATTCCAGCAATTTATTATTTGATTCTCTACAGAGTCACAGTTGCAGAAAATTTTAGCTGTGGTGAAACAGTTGACCGAGAGCCTTGTTCTGCAGTAGAGCTGACAGCCTTCACAATGCTGATTCGTAATTTGGAACTAGCAAAACGTTTTGGATTTGCTTGCGAAGATCCAAAAGCTGTTGAATAGTCCCGATTGCTCGAATTTTTTAAAACTCCATAATTATTTTGGAAGTTTGGTTTGATGTTTCTTTCAAAATTGGAATTTTCGCATAGTTTACTTCCATTGCAATCTTACCTCTTGTTCCTAAACTGCCGATCTACAAGTTATGCAAATCCATAGTTTCCCTCACTGAGCAGTTACGGTTGGGTGTGTATGGTCAGTCAGCGTACACGCGGGAGACTTTAGCCTTTCTTCCATCCACTTTGTTTGCAGGCGGGAGCATTACACAACCTGATTGAATGATGGGACAAGTAAAAAGTAGCGCAACAAAATACTCCCGACGTATATTTATTGCATTTCCTTCCTACTCCATATAAACTTGTATCCATGGCTTCTGACTATCTATGAACTTTTATCCCAACTTCAAAAAACTCGGGTGATTATACAGTAGCTATCTGCTGTGCCTCAATGCGATGGCGGCGTTTCTTGAAGAAAAGGGAGTGGGACATGAGAAATTAGATGATTTAAAGTCAGCTGAAATATGGTTTGCAAATCATAGAATTGAGCATCTCCCACCAGTAAGTTTTCTGATAAAGTTTATTCCAGCTGTTCGGAAGTTGAACGGATTGTGTTCCTTCTGTGTCTCTACGCTCTCAGAACTCTGGCTTCCCAAGCTAGATTCAATTTTGATATCCTCTTCGTTTTCATCTTTGTCCTTGTCCACATCTGTTGGCGCTTCCTTCTCCATCTCATCCTGCTCGGATAGAGCTCCAGGCTTCTTGTCAAATAAACCTTTGAACTGCTTTCGTGCCTTCTCTACCGCTTCCTGTAAAGCGTACCTGTTAGTATATTACAATGCAATGGATGTTCTGTGCCTATCTAGTACTCTCCATCTTACTCAAAGACTAACTTCGCTTCAGCAGATACAAGTAGAATTGAAATGGATAAAGGATCTGGTAGATTCAACTATGCTGTACAATAGAAGCTTCATTAGAACCAACCTGCTCTGCTTTTCTCAGCTTTGACAAAGCCGACAAAGCGTCTGGTTCTGAAGACTTATCAATCTTCATCATCTGAATAATACGTATAGAACGACATCTAGTCAGCTCTGAAAACATACTCAGAAGCTAACGAATGTTAAATGCAAAAAGCATATATATCGAGGTCGTCACCAATCGAGACTGGCTTGCTCTGAAGAGTCTTTTGAACCAGAACAAGTTTTGTTCCACAAAGATATCCTTGACAGCGTACAAGAGAATAATGACATGTAAGAACCAAGACATATAAAACTTGGCGACTTCCAAAAGTTTTTGAAAAGAAGAAAAGATGTACTGAAGGAAAACTTCTCGACGTCATCAATGTTCACCTGGTTGAAGTCCTTTCGCGCATCCTCAAAATCGCTGGAGGCAGTGTATGACGTACCACGACGAAATAGAGCCTTCACGTGGTGAGGATTTCCCTCAAGCACCTTCATCGCCAGGAAGCATGTACGGGTCAAATTTAAAGTCACGTGTAGATAATAGCAATCCTAGCAAAAAAACTCCCACCTTGACAATGATTGAGAACACTCAGGAAACTCTGCCAGTTAGCTACCATAAAATCTCACCTTATTGCACATCTCAATGGCCTTCACGTGATCCTTCAGCTTTTGCCAGCAAGCAGCTACGTTCAGCTGTAGCGAGATCTGCACGCACATAAGTTTCATTTCAGCTTTCAAGTCTATTTCAATTACGGCATGTCGAGATGCACTCCACACTTCAAGTCTCCCGCTAAATGATTTTCGTTCGTTCAACATACATGAAGCTGTCCGCATGCTGACCGCAGAGAAAGTTATATTTTCGGCATGATTTACTTTTACTGACTGGACCAAAATACAGAGACAGGTTTAGCATTACATATTTAGCATTTAAAGCTGAAAATAATATGCTCTTCGTCATGGTTCATGGTATAAAAAGGGCGATAAGGAAGCACAGCAGAAACACGAAACCAAATCTCAAGATGAATATTTGGCGACCATAGGCTGTCCTCATTCGAATCATCTTGGTAATCATTGTTACAAACTTTACATCGTCTACACCCTCATCAGACCATTTTACATCCAGACTCATAAATCTTATAAGCAAATGTTTGCGGTGGAAGTCATACTTATGTGATTCCCTTCTAATAGGGGAGAAAGACACTCGCCACAACGCAGATGTTGCATGTATGCCGCATTCTTTACGTTTCGGTGATAGAATCGCGGCTTACAAGCCATTTCTGATATCCCTCATAACAGCGAACCTACTTTGACTAGGCTCATGTTTTATGTACTTGGGTGGATCAAATTCCTTGTCTACTTTTAACTGACTATAGAGCTCTTCGAACCCATAAGAAGGGCCTGAAAACTTCAGGCTAATACACAAACTGAGAAGTGCAGTTCGACAAAGTCATGATATAGTCGTGGTGGTCTATGATTCCCTTGGACTCTCTCTATCATGGGACCTGGACCGATTTCTGACTTCATACTCATCAACATAATCAAGTGAACATACTATTTAACACTCACCATCCCTAACTATCCCATCCATGAGTAAATCAAGGCACAAAGGGAGACCCTGCAAACTACTAGTTTACCCAAACATATGAATCCACTTTACAAAACCCATCCTTCAAAGATTTATTGAAGGTTGCCAGAAGTTCAAACACAGCATATTCGCACTTTGACTGGCCAAGCAGGCAATGCTGAAGAGTACATACTTGCGCGTTGCTCAATTCTTTGACTTCTTCCTCGCCATCCGGATTCACATGCTTGAACTCCCGTAATAACTTCAAGAGGAGAGAATGGGTTTCATGTTAGCCAATGTACTTGAACATATTCTGTTGATCTGGAGAGATGTAGAAAAATGAAGATGTTCAGAATGGTGAATCTTGATACTTACAAATTCATATTTGTTTTTGGCAAGCTCAAACTTCCCCTCCTTGAATAGTCTGTTGCCCTGAGCAGATACGATTTTGTCACATCTTTACTGTTCATCGTAGTATGATGAGTACTGGAAACGACCAATTTTTTTCCGGACATCCTGATGTGCATAATAGAAACAGAAAAAGGTTCGGTAGGTGATACGACAAATTAGAAGTATACCGTGGATTTTTGCTTTTCGGCATCATCAATAATCTCTCGGAAGTTCATACCAGTCCAGTCCTGTAAGACACATATAAAGAAGTCCAAATTGAGACGCTCACTGGTAGTAACCACATAAACCAGTGTTAAGGTCTAGGAGCGCTGAAAATCCTTAAGCCTGTAATATCATAAAAACACAAAATGGAAAGAAGAGTAGAATGAAGACCTTCATTTTCTCAAAACTTAGAAGTTCCACCTCCCACTGCACAAGAGCTCCCTCTGGAACAGAAGCAGGCCTGCAATATCGGCAGGATACGTGCAGTCGTCAAAGTTTATACAGTGGTAGATTGAGCTCATGTCATTTTTAGACAGCCATCATGATTCTGCTGTGAAACATGGTAAACCCTGACTTGATGTTCATTAACTGGTTCGCATAATTATGTCTTACCTCGTAAAATTGTCGTATGCATATTTCGAGGTGCTGGTGACGACAGAAATTTCTTCTGGGAGCATAAGCCTGACACTCATTTCGAGTCCTTCTGGCAGCTTCAAGCCAAGATTTCAAAGGCCACATTTCAGATCACCAACAGCTGATTGGAAAATGGCAGAAAAGTGTTCACAAAGCTTAACGTCAAGCTTTCGAGCTTTGGATCCTCTCGACCAGGGCGATTCACATCAGACCGTGCATACGACCTTCATATAGGGTGAACTTACCATGCCTTCACCAGATCGGAACTCAAAAGGTCTTCCTTCTGCTCTTGTATCGTAGAAGACTCTTCCACCTTCGCGTGGAAGTTTACCCCTCCAATGTATACGCAATATGCTGTCTTGAAGAGGGCAATCTACGGGGAACTCGCCTAAAACAGTTTTCCAGGTGATTGAAATAAGAGGCGATTCATATTCCTCACCCAGTGAAGGTCTGAATATATGCCGCGAAAACAATACTCGTAGTTCTGTAGTTCTGGATTCAGGCAATCAACATACTATCTCGTTTTGTGCAAGGTAATCACATGTAGAGATGATGATCTCGGATCTATGCTACTGATTCTCTTTACAGAATTAAGTTTCTGGGTAATTCCAAGTATGCTGATATTGATATTTCACGCAATTACTCAAGGCGAAAAGATTGGGAGGCTTAGCTACCTTTCCCATCCTTCACACGGCGCTTTATGACAGCACCGTTGCCGAGCATATCCCGCACCTGTTGTATACACATGTGTAGCCACCACGATATGTGATCATCATGACGCCGCAAATCTGTACCAGTATGCGAGCTGACCGGTGAAAGATGTAAAGCTATTGTGGAAAACAAAGTAAGGTTGACAGTCAACTTTACGTATCAGAGCAGAGAATGAAGGCCCAAAGAAGTATGAATCACCTGAATTATTTGAACCAACTGCACTTCAAACTGAAGCTCCTCTGCTTGAGTGGGCAACTCAGGAACAGCTGATGCTTCTGTTATATACGATGGATTCAAGATATGAATGATAGCCTTCTCATTTTTGTTCATCGTCCCCACTCCCTTTTCAAGACCATCTGGTACCTGGAAATGAAGCAAAATCTTCATTCTCAGCCAAAGCTTTTCCCACGAGTTCGCTCTAATGTTTTCCTCACTTGATATAATCATTATTATAAATCATTATATCGCTCGGTAAACTTTCCACCAGGACTTATGAATTGGTCATAAAGTCACAAACAGCTGGCCTTTCTTCAGGTGAGAGCATTGTAATGTAAAGTGTAAAGAATATCTACAGCTCAGACCAAGGCCTGTGATGGGATTGCTACTGCGCAGAGAAACTGATTCATGGAGTGAATCCAACCATCAACTTACCAGTTTAAACCATATATAATCTTACCTCGCGCTTTCCAAATGTAAAGTGAAGAGGATCTTCCTCACGGACAATAAACTTTGCTCCCCCACGTGTCCTTCCAGTGACTCTGCCAAATTATAATCATACATGTAAATAATGAACTTATCAACGTTGTCAAGCATATTCATTTCTTTCTGTAATATATTCAAACTCAAACATTACTGGATGTTTCAGATGCATGAAGGAGAAAGATGTAGCTGCATGAAAACCCCTGAACCCTCTAAATCGAAGTTAGCCTAGGTAGGCAACAGAGTTGTGAACCTGAAACATCTTGCTAATAATCGATGTAACTAAACGAACCTGATTCTGACTTCATAAGGCTCCCTAGGGGTCTCCCAACCGTCCCCAACATTCAAAACCTGATGGAGAATAAAGAGTTTATTAATCAAGGTACTTGGTTCGTAATTTGGCGTAATACTTTCTTAACTTTAGTATCATTCATTACTTGACTTTTCTGACCGCGAGGTGTTTAGGCGTTTTGAGTTCTGATCGATAGTAAGATAAAGAGAGACATTAAAACGGAACATAGGATCCGCCTCGATAAGGTCAAAAAGCATCATCCTCAAAAAACTTAGGATGAAAAGGGTGTTGGGAACCAACAGTATAATTCCAATATTAAGGTTTGAGTTGTACGTACCTGTTTTAATACGCCCAAGTCCTCCGTAACCACCTGTAAAACAGAATAGAAGTCAAGATCTCTGCAAGAAGAGAGTTGGAGGTGACCTAAAATTGCCTTCAGTTGACTGAGGCAAGCGGGATTATCCATAGGTGAGGAAAAGTAAAACAACCCCGATCGTTGTACCAGCTATCTGTATAGTATATCTTCTTTGGCTTTGATCATCCTTGATTGTATCAGCTCCTTGCATACCCATGGTTAGAAATAGGTCGGTATCCAAGGGGTCGGCATTTTAAAACAGATGCTAGGCATCTTCACTCTTATCCAACTAATTAATCCAGAAAAGTACTGTGTGATGCATGCATTTCCACTTGCTGGGAGATCACATTAATATAGACGATGCATTAAAACGACGAAGAAAACAGTGAGTAAAATCAGGCAGCGTGACGGCATGTGGTTGCCAAAAAAATGGTCCTCCCGAGTCTTGACTTTTCAAGCGAGATATCGAATAACAACATGACTCCAAGAAAAGTCGAGGTCAAATATTTCAATGAAAGCTACGCATGCAAACATATGTAATATGATATATAGATGAAACGAATGAGGTGCAGTTCTTCACCTCCACTTTAAAAAAGTCTTCCATATGAATCTCGAATTCTAGAGTTCCCGTTGTGGGAAAGTGTTCTGGAACAGGCACAGGGCACTCAGGATCCCCGAAGTGCAGCTTCTCCTTCAACTTGAACTGCGAAAACACGTGCATTTCTTACTGAGCAAAGACGTCAAAAAACCAGCAATCATGACAGTGGCTAGGCAAAGCCCACATACCCTGGATACTTCGCCTCTTGACATGGTGGGAAGGCCCTCTTCCCAGCCTGCAATCATCTTGCTCCGTCCCAGAACCAACTTGAAGGGGACTCCCTTCCCTCCGTCTTTTATCTGAGTCGATTCAACCACCGATCCCTCCTCGGTATATGTGGTGTACTGAAATACAACCAAGTCGCCCTCCTTGGGCCTTCCTTCGTCATCTCTTCCGGAAACCAAAATTGCCTTCAGGCAGTCGCCCTCCTCCAGAACTCTCTTCTTCCTGCGAGACCACGGAGCGTGCATTAAGACATACTCTTGATGCAGAACCAGATCTCTGGCGTTTTACGAAATTGAAGTCTACAAGTCTTCCTGACATCACAATTTCCCTCTCATTATTTGACAGAATGTCAAACCGCAAGACTGAAGTTCAGCAGTCCCATTGCCGAGAAAATATATACATCAAAAAGATTGTCTGAAATCGATCGATTAAAACTACGCATGAACCAAGCATAACAACCCAGCTGCAGAGATTTACTTCTCGGCGGGCTTCTTCTTGCCGGCCGCAGAATGCGGCGGCGATTGATCCTCCACCATTTTCACTCTCGGTTCTCACGACCCAAGATCGATTGTGTGCATTCGGCAACGAAAATGATCACTCCCGAATCAAGTCTCAAGAGAAAATCGCAAGAAAGTTGCAACAGAATTGCTGAAAATGTTGCAAATTGCGCCTGCAGGCAGGACTGCGCAGGAGTTGGCGACGAATACGGGAATCTCTTAAAATTGAAATCTGCACCGACTTTCGGACAGCTCGCAGCTCTCCCTTGGGTTTGGGTTTAAGGTGAATCAGAGGGAATGTTTAGCGTTCATGCGATTATTAGCATTTACGTCGACGCACGTCAATTATTTAATCAGATCATTGGCAGTTTATGTACTAATGCCCATAATGTCCTCGTACTAATGCCCATAATTCCTCGTTCTCCCCATGCAATTTTCACGATCACGTATATGATACGTTCGCTTGGGTGCACCAATATGCTTCTTAATTATGTACCTCATTCTCATACTAGCGTATATACATACGAGTGCATAATAAATAGTTTACCATTGGTGTGAAAAATAATAGCTATGATTAGATTAGCGACTCGCTATTTAGTATTAAGAAGAATCTATACATCTCAAATTGAAAGTAGCATGATTATACCTTGCAGTGTACTCCGAACAAGCATGATAATAGTTGGTTTGAGAGTGTAGGGTTATTATCACACAACTGAAATATTTACAAATTTACAAGTTTTCTTAAGTCCTGATAGCTTTGAGTTCATAAGTGAAAGCGGATCGAGCAAAATCTTCAAGTTTAGGAAATAAAGATCTGTTAATTATTCTTTACTAATCATTTGGATTACATATAGCTATTCTCATATACATCAAGACTTTCAGAAAAAAATGCATGATAGATTATTATATTATGGATTGTGATATAGTTATTTTTTAAATATCATAAAGTATATACTTTTATATATATATATATATATATATATATATATATCATTTTCTCTTGAAATAAATCGATGCACAATGGTATACATTGAAAAACTAATCAAAATAGTCCACATTGAAAAACTAACCAAATTATTCCACAATCTTTCTACGTTTTACAAGAAGATTAAGATCATAATAGTATTATGGAATTTATGTATTCTATTTGTAATAGTTTAGCAGTCTTTTTTCTTCTTTCTTTAACCAGGTATACCTGATGAAAATTTATATTTTTTTTCTATATTCAATGAGAATATATATCTCAACAGTTTAGCATCTGTAATGTGTATATATTGAATTGAAAACTATATTCTAAAAATTTCAAATTTTTTTAAATTGCAACTGCATATTTTTTTCTTTCAAAATATATAGAAAAAAATTTTACTAAAATTTTAAATATTAAAATGTCCTCTATTTAATAATTTTTTCATAAATTTTTTTAAAAGTATTTTAACACATAAATTTCAAATATGAAAAAAATCTAGAGAGCTACATTATTCTTCTATAATAAATACACATAGAACATGCAACCTTCAGAATTTATTCATAATCTGATCCAGTTATTGATCAGAATGAAATCTAAAGAAACATAAATTTCTAAAAAAGAATCATGTATGATATTTTATTTCAATTCATAAATATCATTCAATTCTTTCAAGATCTAATCTTAATCAGATAATAATCTTTAACTTGAAATTTTCTTTAATTTATTCGCTGAGCTAGATTTATGTGATAAGTAATTACAATAAATCTACTTTCATCTTTAAGTATCCTCTCTATGGTCTTAAATTTTTTCTTGATCTTGACTTTGAGACTTGCATCATCTGCACGTTTAAAACTCAGGAGGTTTTCGCTACCTTAAATACATACATATGAAGTTTTATTTTCAACACTCAAAGGTGACCGAGAACACAATCACCTAAGGAGAATAGACAGTTATTATTTCAAATCTTAAATATTATATGGACGATATGGATTTGAACTATCCATCACAGAATTATATAAGAAATGTTATTTTATCAGGTAAGAGGATTAAAAAACCATTGATATGACTTGCACTTGATTTGTATTAGGCCAGAGTTTACTAATTTGAGAGTATATAGTTGTACTTTTAAATACAAATCCTAGACATGCCACATTTTGGAGTAGATGATGGTGATAAATAGATACCTCGCAGATTAGCAAGTAGAACGGCAACCTCCAAGGTCTTCAAATATATGAATATGCAAAGACATTATCTCTTTGTACACATAGCTTTGAGGTTTTATAAAACTATGGAAATGAATTTGGACAGGTTTGTGTAAATACATGAGAGCATATCTTACTAGATTTCAGAAATGTAACTCTCTTGAATTTCAAGACCGATCACATTAGATGATTAAATATTTGGATGCTCATATTGTAGGTCATTCATTTGGTAGTTCATATATCTTGGAAATGTAGAACATAATTTTCACTCTGATGTTTGCGGAAACTAGCTAATGCTGTTCATTTGCTTTCATCCATCTACACCTAGGTGGACACTTTTTATATTTTTTGTTATTTTACTTTGTTCATGTCACAAAAATTTGGTAGAAAATCTACATGTCGAACATATTGTGAAATGCATTATAGTATTATTATGTTGTGTGACAATTATCGACAATTCTCATTGTGTAAGTGGTGAGATAGCATCACGTAGTGATGCATCATCCAGTTGAGATGTAAGTGTTCCTTGGATAAATTGTAAATAATTCCTCTTCGACTCGTTATTACTCCAGTAGAACAAATTCTCAAAGGTGGGCGCTTGAGATGCTTCAGCGTCTATCCATTTATTACTTTCTACCATCTCTTTTCTATTCTAGACTTCATTTCTCCTCACCGATACTAATCTAAGAACATATCCAGAATGTGTAGCACCTCGATTTTGATATAAAAAAATATCATGAGCGATAGTTAGAAAAATATCACCAACTTCGTTGAGCCCTAAATCAAATCCGAAGCTATAAAGGCAAGCGTGGTGACCAACACCATCTTCAATCAATTAAAAAGGGGTTCCTCCGAATGGCTCCGTATCTGTTCACATCCGCAGGTCGTTGAACGCCGTATTGTGGGAAGAATAAACGAGCACCAACTCAAACGGAGCTGCGTGGACCCGTGGACCGTGGTTAGGTACGAGGTCAGCGCGGTCGGACCCAAGAGCCACGGGGCGGGCCCACAGCGTGGACAAAGAGCCGAAGGGAGGAAAGAGGAGGGGCGTGCGTTCCATGCGTGCTGCGCCATGTCACCATGTTACGAAGGCATCGGGGCGAGAAGGGCGGCAGATAAGCTTTTGCCGACTGGGCGCCCCGTCAGGTCCCATGCAGAGCGTCAGTGGATGCTTCCAATAGCGCCCGGAGCGTCACATGGCAGCCGGACGCATCTTTCAGGCACTTGAATCCGGCCTCCCGTTGCCTACGCGTCCCTCTGCTCGCCCACCCGCCCGGCCGCCCGCCGGAAGACGGCTGCGCTCCGTAGCCCCGCTGCTCTGTCCGTATTAATACGTCGCGACTCTGTTCCAATCTAGAGCTGCTCCTCGTCGTCGAGTGGACCGGGACACGTTACCAGGGACAGAGCAGCAGCAGCAGCAGCAGCAGTTCGTCGTCGTCATCGTCGATCGATTTATTGATCGATCTCCTTGCGTCAAAGTCTGATCGAGGTCCAGCAGTCGCAATTCTCGGACGGGAAGAATCGGGAACAATTTGTGCAGCTCATGCGAAGCACTCTCGATAGATTTCGCGCAGCAGGGCTCTGGTGAATTGAGCTGATTGTAGTTACTCATTGCACAGTCGCGGACCTGTAAGGCCCGCAGTCGCCGACGAATTCCTTTTTGTTTCGGTGGAGTGCGTTGGAATCCGTCTCCAGAATTGATCGGCTCCTTCGCGAAATCAGTTTGCACTTAGCTCAGTTCATATTGAATGTGTCAATTTTTCCTCTTTGGGTGTGGGACACGGTGGTGACTGCCAATTGCTGCTAGTTTCGTGACTGGAGGAGCGGGCTTTCTGAGAGCTGTAGGAGCGCCGACGATTATATGCTCGTCTTTGAGGTTCAACGCGAGAGATTGAATTTTGATTGATTTAGAAGAATTTCCTGTTCCAGTTCGGTGATAGGCAGGAAAGTGGTTGGAGAATCGTGTAGCAGGGCACGGCGAGATATATCAAGGGCCACTGTTGGGGAAATTGTGTTCACGAGGAGTTTGTTTATTGAGGAATTTTCAGCTCGGGTTTGACCTGGAGGCGCCATGAGGCACTCGGCGCAGTTGCTCCGAACATTGTGGACGAGCTCGTCACGGCTCAGAGGCGCAATTTGCCTGACCAATCCCTGCTTTGTGAGTTTTACTGTCTTGTTACTAGCTTGAGGCTGATTTTTCCTCTTGTAAGGCTGCAACTTTTATCCGCATGATAGAAGCTGTTTAGTCAACTGGCACGATCCTCCTTCCGAGTTTCTGGGGCCACATGAAACTGTTTTGCAATTTCAGTGAACAACATGTTAACTAACAACATGGTCAAATTTCTCTTCCCTTGGGCCTTTGTGTTTGTAGTCTGATACGTGAACTCTGTATCATGTTTAACTCGTCCTCATCTGCCGCCTTTAATTAAATCATTTTAATGATTACATTAAATCCAAATTTGAAAATATTTAATATATATCCACGAGAGTTGTTTCTCACTAGTGTATAATTCGTAGCTTCTAGAGGTAGCATCTGATCGCGTTCTCAGTCTCAGAAGAATTGAACCTCCATGGCTGTGAAGTCATGGAGGTTCAACTCATCAGCTCCTCGTACAGAGAACCGTGGAATGATGAACTTGTGCCACTCATTTTTGAAAGAGAAATTCCAGTTGACCTTGTGGGGACTTGTGCTGAGCAGAATGGGGGCAGTCATCGCATGTTCGGGAATCTTCTGCTAGATGAAACGGCGGAGCAGGTTAGCTCCTCCATGCTTTGGTACTGGAGATCACTTGAGTGCTTTTGTGTCCAAAATAAGGCTTTGTGCTCCGAAAATAATGGCAGCGCTGCCCGAAAGCGTTTTGTTAACCTTTAGATTCAAGCGTTGTTATCATCCCGGAGTTGTTCTAATGTCTCGTTTTTCTCTTCCAGTTCAAAGACAGTGTCAGGCAATTCGCGCAGGAGAATATTGCACCCCACGCAGCGAAAACGGACTTGACCAACTCGTTCCCAAAGGTCTGCACCTGACCATACGAAAACAGGTGGCATATGTTTCGTAGGGTTTCAAGTCGATTGTTATATTGCGGATTGCAGTTATTCTTGCTTTATTTATAAGGATTCTGAGACTTTATATTGTTTTGACTCTGAGCTTTCAGGATGTGAATGTCTGGAAACTCATGGGAGATTTCAATCTGCATGGAATTACAGTTCCAGGTAAGATAGCAGGAGTAAGGTGGCTTCATCAACTTGAACGATCTTGAACCGTCTTCGGTAGAATTATCTATTTGCTTGGTTTTTCTGCTATTGCGATGAAGACAATTCTGGTGATTAATGAACTAAATGGCAAATACAGAGAAATATGGAGGGCTTGGTTTGGGCTACTTGTATCACTGCCTTGCCATGGAAGAAATCAGCCGTGCGTCTGGATCTATCGCCCTTTCATATGGAGCTCACTCCAACCTTTGCATCAATCAGCTTGTATGTACTAAATCTTAGAATCCGATATCAAAACTTTCGCTGTGAATGCATAGCTATTGATTGTCTTGTTTGATTATTTGGAGTTCAATTCAACCTTGATCAACCATATCACTAAAATCTTAAATATGATATAATTCTTTTCCAAAGTGTACGTAGAGCTTCGATTTGCTGCTTATGATCACTAGCGGACAGAATGACACATCTTGGCTGGAGCCAAGAAACTTTTGTCACTTTCTTGTCATGCACATGTAGATGATCTGTGGTTGATGCCTTAGGAGTCACAGAAACTGAAAAATTTTGAACAATATAAACTTGCAGGTTCGGAATGGCACAGAAGCACAAAAGGAGAAATATCTACCCAAGGTACGTCCACAAATTCTAATATGGAAGAATTTCTCTCGTAGTTTCTTTTGATCCGTACCAGTCGTCGCCGTACCTCAAGTATAATGTTGGGTTAATCTGCTGAGGGTTAGAGCTTCTGGCCATTTGCAAATGGTTGGTGGGAAGCTTTTCTCCAGTATTTATGCTCTTTACGTTTCACTTTAGAGCCGCGCTGACTTTCAGGGTCTTCATCAGAAATGGAGTCAGGAATGTTCTCAGTGTGATAGCCTTCGCTGCAAAGTATAGTTACTATGTATGAGTAAGGTTAATGAACTGTGAAGTTCTAAGCTGAACCTGTAATGTGTTTCTGTCTTGCCCCTGCTGAAGTTGATCAGTGGAGATCACATTGGAGCCCTGGCAATGAGTGAACCGAACTGTAAGTGATTCTGTATGCTCCATGCCTTACATTCATACTTTTATTGTTTTCCTCGGGAGGTTAAGAATCAAGGCTACTTATCGAGGGTTCTTCACTATATCATCCAGACCCAAACACCATGGAATTTTTGCTGGACTTAATATTTCACTCTTTCATGAAATCTTCTGCCAACACGAAATATTATGCTGACAAGATGTTCTTATTCGAGATATGGTTTCTCAATCTTGCTGAAGCTTCTCAACTCTGCTCGAAAGTCACTCTCATTACGATTTACGCCTGTCCACAGCCGGTTCCGATGTTGTAAGCATGAGGTGCAAGGCTGAGCGGGTTACGGATGGATACGTACTAAACGGTAACAAGATGTGGTGTACAAACGGACCAGTGGCAGAGACTCTGGTATGAGAACTTTGTCAATTCCTCCGTCGTCAGTTTAATTTGCCTTCCTTGCATTATAACAATACCAGTGGCATCAAATGGGTCACGCAGTTGCAATTTTATTTGACCGTTTGACGTACCTCTTTACAGATAGTATACGCCAAATCTGACTTACAAGCTGGAGCGCATGGAATCACAGCGTTCATTATAGAGAAAACCATGAGTGGGTACTGGAAACGTTCTGGCCTTTTTGTCAAGGGGCTGTGTATAACGAAGCCATTTCTGTACTGGCTTTGTCGATAGTTATAAGTTCTTATGAGAATTACTCTACTTGGCAATTTTATAAATATGCAGCAGGTCTCCACACAGTAGTAATATTTCTTTAGCAAAGTCCCTCTCAAGCCTAGCATCCCTTTTCGGGCTGTCTGTTTGCCTGCCCTCTTGAGTTGGTGAATTTTAAGCTCAGATGGAAAGAAACTTCTGGATGCAGGTTCAGCACTGCTCAAAAGCTGGACAAGTTGGGAATGCGAGGAAGCGACACGTAAGTGCATTGCCAACAAACTATTAGCACCTTCCAGCTTTTTAGGCATTTCATCGCAATATTGTTACCCTTGGCTTTAGCTCACAGTGAGCTTTTGTGACTGGTAGTCACACCTTATTCGGAGCCATGACTTGATTGCTGTTTCATTATAACATTAAATACAGGGTCTGAAACTGGCTCCAAGTATGTCAGACAAATGCTATCGTTTGTGCAAACAGCTCTATACGCCGTACTGATTTAGATACTCTGTCCAGTTAATATTGCTGCAATTTAAATTCCGTTTATTTGTTATGACGTCTCGTCCAGGTGCGAGCTGGTATTCGAAAATTGCTTCGTTCCTCAGGAGAATGTTCTAGGACAAGAAGGCAAAGGTACATGATGGCATCTGATTTCCAACGAACGTCCTCAAGTCTGCAGCTCTCACCATATTTGAATCTTTGTTCATTTAGCGTACCGGTTCGTACGCTACGCTCGATAATGGTATGAGTCACGATTACAGTATTAGTAGTCAGACGGGATGATCTTTGCAATGAAGAAGTAAGCGTGAGTGCAAAGGTTTGTTAGTCCTGTGAGTCAGATGATGAGAAAGAGCTCTGCCATCAGGGTTTACTGTACTTCGTCTTGGTTTCTGTGAGCATTTAGCATTTGGTAGTGAGCTAATTGGAATGAAAAAACGAGGACTGATAGAATGACAGGAGTTCGATGCTGCACATTCGAGGTAAAGATTGACGCTCCTTTGAAATAGATATAAAGGCGTGTACCTTAAAAACCATGAGTTCGAGCGGTAACCAGCAGTGTTCGCTTCCGCTCGCATGTTCCTGTGTGTTCGGCCTCCTGAGTTCAGTCGCTTCTCTTTATGTAGGTAGGCTGGAGAGTGTCTATTTGTAATCAAAATTTTGTTCCAACGTCCACGGAGACCCCCACAGACACGTAGGACCGTGTTTTAAATAACGTCCCAAAGGATTTTGGTTTGCTTTTGGATGTTCATGCTGGAGGTGGGAAGATTGGGGACTGTCTCTTCCACTTCTATCGAACACCATGGTACAATACGTGGTGTCCAGATTAAACCAGACAACGTTGTTGAAAAACATGGTGGGACTTTACACCATTGAGATGGATCTGTCTAACGCTTGATGTTGAGCTGTACGTCTAATCTGTCCCTGCCATTGTCGTCCTTACGGTGGACCGAGAAAACTAGTTTGGATTGAACTAACCAAGATTTGGCGACTTTTTGAAAGCAAGCTGGGTTGGAAAATCTGAAATCCAAATATTGCCACTGGTTGCTTCTCTAAGAGAACATATTTATTGAAGAAATGCTTATAAGGTTTCGTAATTCTGGCACATGCAGGAGTTTACGTGATGATGTCTGGCCTAGACCTCGAGAGACTTGTTCTAGCGGCTGGTCCGTTAGGACTGATGCAAGCCTGCCTGGACGTTGTATTGCCGTATGTACACGAGAGAGAACAGTTTGGTAAACCGATCGGAGAGTTTCAACTTATTCAGGTAAAGGCTCTTTGTGCATAACCATGAAATACTGCACTGGAGCTCTTGTCATTCATTACTTCGAGGGATGTCAGGGCTGGAAAACTGTCCAATCTTCGTCACATGGTATTGCATTCTGCGCCATAAGCACCATTTTCCTTTGTCCTCTACTTGTCAGCTTGTGTACACTGATGACCATGGTGTTTCGTTTCTTACTCGTTGCAGGGAAAGCTTGCAGACATGTACACTAAAATTCAAGCGTCAAGGTACACTTCTAAAACCCGATTACACAGCCGCCAAAGAATTTTCTTAACGCAGATCTTTGGGCTGGTCGGTGATTTCGCGTTTTCTCTTGCAAAGTGCCCAGCTGTAGATTTAATCACCGCGGATAGTGTTGGTCAATTACACTCCAAGTAGACAGGAAGTGTAGTGCAAACTCCAGAGTTCTCCTTGTAAGAACCCAACTACACTTGTATTGTTAGATTCTGCGCGAAAGGTGATGGTCAAAACGTATGGTCTGGTTAAGCAAGAGTCAGCAATTTCCAGTAATTACCGTTTGCTTGAAAGCCTCCATTCGGTGGCCCCGTTCTCGTGGACTTGCTGAAGCTCACCAAAGAGGTATATGGGCAGGTCATTTGTCTACTCCGTGGCACGCAGTTGTGACGAGGGCCAAGTTGATAGGAAGGTGCGTTACTCGAAAAACTTCCACTTTCGTAGTTCACTTTGCCGTCTCCTCTTGCTATGCAGTCATTCCCTTCAGCTAAACCTCAAGGATATGATTTCTAGATTGACCAAGATCTGATCAAGGAAACTGGGAGAATGCATTGAGAGATTGATCATAGCATCAAGCATTTCGGTGTGCTTTTCTTTGTTTACACTCTTCGCTTCTTTTGGAGTGAGATGAAGTCCGCTTTCACAATCCTGAATTCTGTTATTATATTGCAGGACTGTGCAGCAGTAATACTTTTTGCTGCCGAGAATGCAACCCAAATGGCCTTGCAGGTAATAGAAACATATCACTCTCTTGAAGATCGCTAAATCAAACTTAACTCAAGTCTTCAGCACATCAGTCGCTTCACCATCCTATGCCGTACGTCTTCCCCTAACGCTACCAGTGATCGTCGATTCTGGTGTGTCAGTCTATTCAATGTCTAGGAGGCAACGGTTACATAAATGAGTATTCAACTGGGAGGCTTCTGCGTGATGCCAAATTGTATGAAATTGGTGCTGGCACGAGCGAAATTCGACGAATCATCATCGGACGTGAGCTATTCAAAGAAACGTAGATTGGTAAGTCACTCGGAAGGAGTCTGTTCATTGGGAAATGTGCTGCACCATCTCTGCAGCATTCAGTTTTCTTTCTCTTTCCTGTTTCTGCTCAGATCTTTCTGTTCTCTGTGGACGATAACGAGGGGAGAGGGAGGAATGGGAAGTAGGGAATATAGCTTTCCAACACTTTGCCCTGGTTACGCTTCCTTATTGCAGAAGCTCTCTACGAGGTGTTCTGGCTCAGCCACTCGGACACCATGACTGACGCTGATGAAGTCTTGGTGTTTCCATGAGGTATTTGATCCTTGGAAAAGTCGACCTTTTCCAGTGTGCGTCCCTGGACAGGTGCACCATGGATTTGCACCTGCCTTGTGCGTGAGCATTCAATTAGTCACCTTTTAGAGAACAGTGAGATCCATTCTTTACTCGTAGTTCGCGTAGAAGATGTACATTGTGCTGCGGTCACTGGCTATGTCCATTCGAGCAGTTCCTGTGTAATAATCCCGAGGGTTTGGCAGAGGTTAATGGTCTTAGGAGTAATTAGATGCACTTCACCAGCTTTTGTATTTCCTTTCTGAAAGGGTTAACCAGCACCTCTGGCTGGAGACTTTCATTCCATCAACCAGGGTCGATCAATTCAGTACGCAATGTACAAAAGCTCAGCTGGTGAATAAAGACCTTTCTGTTTCTAAGCTTCTCTGAAACTGCTTCTTCGGCTCCTTGTGGTTCTTGACTGTTCTGCTACTTTGAAGAGGTCGTTCACTGAACCTGAGATTGAATTGAAAGAGCTCAAAACTGGGGGACGCGAATGCCATGACTCCGGGAAAAAGGAGGGTAACAAGAGCTCAAGCATTACGTACATTTGCAAAGTCGCAACTCTTCCCTAGAGGTACGACCTACAACTCAGATCATTAAAACAACCACTTCCTTTGTTCACTTGTGACGATATGCTCTGTCCAAGTTTCTAATTTGCGGGACATGTCCATAACCTCTGCTGATAGCGACATGTGCTTAGTACATGTATAGTGCATTACCATTCTGATCATAGGGAGCGGGAACCTTCGTGTGGTAAATTTGGCAACTCTCGCCTGTTGAGGGTCAGGCTATATAGATGCAAGTAGTGTGGATCTATTGAGATACAGTTATTCGTGAATTGTAAGTACGGTCATCCGTGACAAATCAGTTTGGGATTCCAGCCAGAATTTAGTCAGTCGGGGTGAAAATAGGTCCATGATTCAACGTCTTCCTCTAGATCCTTCATTTTTTGGGCGAGCATCATAGTTGCCTCATCACATGTACTAGCAATGTGAGATTTCACCTGCTTTATATTTCTGGCATCTCTTGAAATCATGGAATCATCACCGATGACTGTGGAAGTTCCCAGTTGTGATCCAGCTGTCGGAAGGCCTTGAGTGAATCTTGATTTGATGGTGTCCCTTTGTTTCATTCCTCTAGCCTTTGTTTGGGAACTTTGGGCGCTGGTATCACTTCCACTTTCACGTGCATCTAACTGTAACAAGATTTGCGCCTCATGTCGCCCTATCTGATTTGTGACACAAAGTATGTAAGCAGCCAGGAAGTTTCCTAGTTTCTAAGAAGACTTGCAGTTCGTAGACATACGAGAGAAAGATAGTGCTCTTAAGTCATTCGATGTAAGTTCGGAATGTTCGTCAAGATTTACGCTTGAAGTATTCAACAAATGGTATTAGAAAAAACAGCAACCTAAATTTAGTGGGTTAAGTAGGAGGGTGTGACCTCTTTCCGAAGCTCCTGGATCTGCTCGAGGAGGTCTTTGTTGGCATTCCGAAGGCGATTGCTCTGCAATCAAGGAACAGAACAAGCAGTTTGTAATTAGCTTTTCTTGCCTGCTTTCATTTTGTCAGGCTTCATCGTCCACTTACAGGTTTTTTTGGTAGTTATCGAGGGAGAAGAACTTTTGTGCTTATTTTCAGCGCGTCTTACAAATTTAATCTATCGTACCGTTAGACGCCACTGCTGTTCTTTTTTGAAGTGAGCATTTTGCTCCTGGGCCAGTGTAGCTCTCAGTTCATCAAGTGCTCTTCGATCGTCCTTCTTCGCAGTTTTCGATGATGTGGCACGTGCCTGGTGCTCCAGTTTACTCCGTTCCTTTTGTAGCATATTCAGCTGCAAAGGCGGTGGATGCATACATTAGGGAGAATGGCAGGAAACTGTACAAATAATATGTTCATGTCACGCCCTGACTGTCGCGCTGTGGCTAAAAGTTGCTACATGTCAGTGAAGCATGTATGAATAGCAACGTAGTCAAGAGACAAATACAATGCAGGGACACGGACATCTTGCTGTGCTTCTCTTACTTGTGCCTCCTTAAACTTCTGAAAAGCTTCCATGTCTGAAGCCTTTTGCTGCTCCCAGGCTGCCTTCTCCTGCTTGAGTTGAGCTGCATTATCTTCTTGTTCCTGATTAAGAACAACCGAGTTCTGAGCAAGTCAACAAATCTCACATTCTAGGAGCACCTTGGGTTTCCGTCAAGCTGTCGACTTATTGCCTCGATGTGAGTAGGTTCCTTACTTGGAAGTAGAAATGTTACCTTCAGCAAGGTCTTGATCTTTCTGTTCCCTTTCGTGAAATTCACTATTTCGGCTTCCAAGTGTTCCACTTTCTTCCGAATAATTGGATAGACGTCTTGAAGATTGTTCGCAGTTCTTTCTTCATCTGCACGGGGCTCTTCGCTCTGGGTCCCAAAGAACAATCTCACCACCGATGAAATTGGGCCGGTCGGTTGTTCGCCTTGGTAGGACTTCCCATCTCTCAATTCTTTTCCTGGAAATGCTTTCAGATCTACCCTCGAGGGTGTATGATGACCAATCTTGTGGTAGTCATCATGGCTGCCAACTTGACCACATGGCACGTTGTCATCGACATCCTTCAAGCATTCGAACACGCCTTCCTCCTGTAACACATGCCAGAAGCCGTTACCATTATATTAGTCATTACGTGCAATATTTTGAAGAATCATCTTATCTGTACAAACTAAGATATTTACCAACGCAACTCATATGTGAGCGACAAATGTATGAAACCTACCAACAAAAGTACAACCTGTAGAGACCATATTAGATTAGTAGATTATGTAAGCAGGTTTCTCCAAAACGATGAGATCCGACTAAGAAGGAAGGGCAAGAGAGGGCGAATTGAGATCAAACAGTAATTTTTGCGAACTGAAAGCTCTGTCAACTGAGTGGATAGATTGGGAATGATTAGACAATATTGTGAATATACTGGTGACAACTGAGAAATTGCAGAATGTTCTACATTTTACAACTTAAATGATTCCCACTCTTCTGATAAGTTGAGTAGAATTGAGTATTGTTGTCCATCAGTTCCTCCGTTTATCTACGTGTTTAAGGCTAGTCTCTTTCATGACTTAATACTTGATATTCTAGATAATTAGAAAGTAGGAACCTTGTAGATTTAAATCCTGATCAAATTATCTGTCTACTGGCTGCATGACTGAGTGAATGAGAATGGTGAAGAAATTTTAATAAAGAGAGAGTTCAAATGTGGGGGTGGGGCTCTCAAACGCAAATCTATATGATCAGGTTCTTCAAAGGTTTAAGTTAAAACACCTCATTCCTCTGTCTTCTGGGCTGCTGCTGTAGCATTCCAGAAACTTTAGCTTCCAAAGCAACCAATTTTGGTACATTGCAAAGCGAAGATTGTCGACCAGATTAGTCCCATGTTCGAGCGGGTTGTATTTTTTGTGCTCTCTAAGTGGTTCTTTTGAAAGTATGGAGGTAAGTTTTTGTGAGACCAACCTGGTACAAGTCTCGTGATATCGACAAGGTATCAAAGATGGCCATCAGTAGCACAGATGATCAAGGTACTGCCTCAGTTCATGTTTGCAAAGTTTCATGTGGTTGGTCGATGACTGATTAGCTTCTTCGAATGTTCCGGTGTCCTTGAGGATCGAAATACATCTCAGTTGTGGTACCAACTATGTAATTCCAATACAACGGAATCACTGTAATTGTCGACTATGAATCACAAGGTGAATTTTCTTCGATCTCCTCCCTGAATAGAAAAAGGGAGATACATAGTTACTCAACAACTGTCGTCTGTAATATTGGTGCTAGGGCATGAGGATATTATGAGTCTTTCGGCTAACGTAGCACATTTTGGGTCTGGAACTAATTGATCTTGGCGTATGTAGAAAAGCGATTTTATCGGACTAGGGAGACTGATTTCTGAGGAATACTCTGTTAGCCTATTTGAGCTCTGTCTGTTCATTAGAATTCCATATTCTTTATGAACTTTTTGAATTGAGGAACTTTGGGTTATTCGTTGAAAGCTAACTTGTGGGAAGTCAGCCGTATCTCATGCAGATATCAGGTCATCCTCTATTGTAGATTTATCATCCGCTAACTTTTTAGCTACACCAAAGATTACAGTGGAAGGTGACTTAGAGAAAGTTATTGCCTGTTTGAGACACTTCTTCGCAGGTTTCGTGTTCCGTCCTGCTGCTCCAAGTTCTCTTTGAACTCTTCTCTCCAGCAAATGAAATTCTGCCACATGACATGCTTATTATGAATTATAACTGAGGAAAAGACTTGTCCAGACACACATCTCCAAAACTGGATCGCTTCGTTGCATATGCAACACTGGATGCGAGATATGTCCATACTATCACCGCCTTTGGATGTCAGAGCAGTCTTCGTTCGAAGATTCCATTATGCATTACGTTTGGATACTGCAGTTATCGCGCTTGATTCAGATCTACTGGAAATCCTGCCCGATGTGATGCCTTTATACTACAACTGTGACCTGGGTATACAGGGATCATACCTTTAATCTCGCGGGCTGTCAACTTTTTCAGTGGTACTGCTTTGGGAATCGATTTGCACCTCTTGCGTATTTCTCGTTTCTCAGGTCTACCCAATGTGTAATCGGATTCGCCATAAAACGATTCAGCAGTCCAACTCTGGATTTTAGAAGGACCTGATCCAGTTCTCTCGCTTTTTTTCGAAAGAGGTTCCTTGTAGAATTTTCTCACTTCAGCGAGGCACTCCTGGGACAAGTTTCCTAATTGAACCTTGGCAAGCTTCAACCTCGCAAGCTGTTCTTCAGCTTCTCCAACGAAGAGATCCAGATTCGAATTAGGATCATCTGACAACAAAGTACTGTCTGTGGTATCGCTGTCTTCCGATTCGAAAGTTTTCTTTCGAATACGTCTGGCTTCCTTACTGACTCTTCTTTGATGTCGGCGATGTAAAAATTCTGAACCCGAATTGCTTGAGGATGATTCATAGTTTTTATTATAAGTAAGAGCTCGTTGTTTTTGCTTCTCTAGATCTCCGGGAAACTTGCTAGTCTCGTCATCTTGCTCTTTGCAAGAAGAAGATGAAGAACAGCAAGAAGAAGAACAGGCAGAGGGCTTTGGATTCTTTAAAGGTTCGGATCTTTCATGTTGTATAGATGACAAGTTATACAACCTGCTTCGTTCATACCATTCTGGGGGTTTATCTCGCATCCCTATTCGCCCGCGTTTATCAACAGGAATGTACTGAACCTTGTAACCATTCTCATAGTCGATGGGTACTTCAGCTTCTATCAATCGGGCGGCCATTTGAACTGATAGTGGATCTCCGCAACTCTTAGATTTGGACAGTATCCCCTTTGACCACAGGGGGTTCTCGTACATCAAATCAGAGGATCTTGGCTGAGCATCTGGTGAAGACCAATCCACAAGCTCTGACCCACCACCTAGGCACTCAGATTCACTTTCTGTGTACTTCCTTGGCTTCCGGCACTGTCGTGGGTCGTTCAAGTATTGAAGCCCGAGGTAGTCGGATTGTTGAGGATGTGCACAGCTTGCAAAAGCCCTAGCTATTGCTTTCATTTCTTGTTCCACTCGGAGCAATTCCTCGTTGACTGAAGAAAAACGGAAGGCATCAGTATCACTTAGAGCCTGCAAGTGTTTTTGAACCTCTCCCACCTTTTTCCTCGTCTCTGTACGAGCGCAGTCCCCGCAACTCACCGTAAGTACTTGTGAAGAACTATTCAGGTAACGGAAGTTCTTCCCTGGGGTTCTCTTGAAGAGCTCATCACGGAACTTTCTCGAAGCTTGATCATCAATATCATCATCTGCAACGGAACATGCAGAATATGGGGTGAAAAGCAGAAGATCATGTAATCTGTCAACCCACTTGACGAAGATAGATCATGTTCGAAATATCGAGACAACTGGATCCTTATCCCGGATCTCTGTCACGCTTTCAAATGTTCGAACTGCTTCTGTTAAAGGTCCTTCGACAATCTACGGACGGTTTGGTACATGCAATTCGAACGAGACTCAGTGTCGTCTTAGTAATCTCAAACTGCAGGAGGGAATAAAATGAAGTGGTTGACGTTAGTTTCCGAGTCTTCTGTCTCTTCTTTAACTAAGCCGTGCCATTTGGATGCGGGTTAGAAGCATCTCACAGTCTGGCGGAAAAGCAGCAGTGTGTCCTTGCTGAGTAGAATGCCTGAGAAGGGTGAACTCAGATGTTGCACATAGTTACCCCGAGGAGTCAACTACTGGGACAAGGAGTAAGGTTGGGTCAATTGTTGATAACCCCCGCACCCAGTATAAACGAGGTTGTCTCTGGCTTTTCATGATCTGATCAGCTGGACGGCTGAAGATTCTAAGCATCAGCGCTATGTGACCTTGTAGCTCGCAGGGATGGATAGCTGGAGGGTATCTCAGACCTGACGATGAATCCTCAGATTCATTTGTTTTGAAGATACGCTTTACAGTATTCTTGGCGAAGACATACTTTCTTCCAGTGCGAGCACTTAAGGATCTTCCCCTAGGGTTTATGTTTCCTGCAAGGGATGACCATTTTCAAATGTTACGACCACGTGGTTATGGACACAGGTTGGAGTGCACAAGTCGTGGCCGGTGTAAGCACTTGGTTTGTCATACTAAAATCTGGCCCTGGTTCAAATGAGGTATTACAAGTGTCTCCTGTGGATTCTATAGAATAGAGCAGAACTCCTTTTGCCCGATCAGTAGGAGTGTCTATAATCAGTTGCCAGAGGTACCTGGTGAATGTTTTCCTTCTTGCTGGGATCGTTTGCAAGAACAGCTTGCGAGATTTTGGAACTGGGTAGTTGATTGGGTACAGCTCTTGGCAGGGACATTTGAGTCTGTCAAACTGTTCTGAAATGTTTCATTCAGCTGGTTGCTACCTGCTGTTAACTGTGAGGTTTTGACTAGAGAGGAATGGGCTTGAGCAGACATTTGCTCGATCTTCCTTAGCATTGCTTCATATCTGTTCTGATATTGCTTCCAACTCACTTCCCTCTGTTTCAAGTCATCGATATCATTTAAGGGCAACTCATGTAAGACCTTAGATACATTTTGCAAGCTGTTTAGATCCCCCTCATAAGTGGCAGATGACGATATATCCCTCTTCCTCCTTTTGAATTCACCTGAACACGTGAGCTCGTCTTCATCCTCTGCGTCGATGTATTCGTGATTGCAAGACTCCTCGAGAGCATAATCTTGATACCTTTCTCTATTGCCACCCTTGATTGCTCCGGCTATGTATTCGGCCTTCATACGTAGCTCTGCACAAGGAACTGCCGTGGGAACATTCGGGAGAGAAGGACCATCATTAACTGGCTTGTTGCATAGTCTTTGAGAAAAATGTGACAGCAACCCTCGACCACAAGAAGTCTCTGTGTCTTTGGGATATTCGTTTTCGAGAGCGCTCGTATGTCCACTGTTTTCACCCATATCCTTTGACGATTGTACATGCGTGCCTTTTTTTGCAGCAATTGCATTTTCTCGCAGTTTCACATCTCTCGCAATCGACCGGAGAGAGTTCTCCGTAAAATTTCTACTTTGAACATGACAGCAGCCACCAAAATCGCACTGCTGTTTCATGGGAACGTTCCCCTGCAAAAGCGAGTGAGACGCTTCTAGGGCTTCAGCTACAGACTCTCTGTTTCCCATGTGCTGATCTGTGGAGGAACCTAGCCAGTCTTGAGTCTCGAGATTCTTCGAATCCTTTTTCCTAGCTGAATGGCGTTCACTCCATTCATCTTCTAGACAAGCAGCTTCGCCCTGCGGAAAGAAACAATTCCACTTGGGTGTTCCAGGTTCCTTACCCTGGTGCTTCTGCAGTTCCTCTTCCATGTAACTCTCAGAGCGGGTCTGGATGTGCTGATCTGAAGTCAATATTTTCTTGTAATCTTGCCTACTATGGCTAACGCTGCACTTTGGGATAGCGGGCTGCACCTCATTCCACCCACATGTACAGTCAGTTCGCAACTTACAGTCAAGAGGACTTTGTGGAAGGAATGCCTCAGTCTCATGCTGGATGAACGTATTACGATCGTGAGCATCACCAGCATCTGATTCTCTAGCTACCGATAGCTTCCCGATTCGTTGAAGCCACTTGTTTTTGCGACCTGGATCAGACTGAAACTCTTCCTCTATTTTTTCCCCATCCCGATCCTGGATATAATACTCTTCATCGCAAGTGACTTTGGGAGAAGCAGTCCAGCCTTGTACAGGCTCGGACGATAACTCCCTACTATCACAGCCTCCCAAATTGGGAATCTGCTCTGGAGTACCGCCAGTATATTCCCAGTCCATTCTCGATTTATATCCTCGATTGTCCACTAGTATATGCACTTGTGTCCCGGCTGGAGGATTGCCAGGGTCACCATAAACGCAATTCTTTCCATCTTCAACTCCACGATCCTCCGCACTCAAGTAATCCGGTAGTTCGAACACATTTACATTACTTAGAAACGTATCTTCGATTGAGGCTTTGGATTCACTAAAAGAGTGCGTTGTGCTTTCGTCACTAGGATCAATGTTGCGGTAAGAAGATTGATACTTTCTGATTTCAGCAGCCATCTTTTCTTCGTTGACTTCCAGAAGTTGGCATTCAGATGTAGCTTTGTCAAAATTCCATCCCGCACGTTTAGCCGCCCTCAGACCAGACTTCATGTAAGACATAATTTTTCCGCTCCTGGTGTTGCACGATTGATCACAACCATCACTCGTAGTCCACACATTCTGGTCGCCCATCACAGCAGAAAAGCTCTTCCATGAGCAACCTTCATCACTAGGATTTTTATAAGCGCCCAGATTATCGTCATTATTGTGAGAATCTTTCCACGGGTGTCTACCATCATCACCCACCCTACATGCATCCACTCCGGAATCCCTTCCAGACGTGGCCGACAATGATCCACTTCCTGCACTACTTGTGCTCTTCGTATTGCTAGAGCCCATACAGGAACAGCATGCGGATCTTCCCTTTTTGGTTGAAGGCTTGACTCGTCCTTTCTGTCGCCCTTCTATCTCTAACCCTGCTTTGTCTCGCAGTCTTTTGATCCTCCTCCTCCATCGATTCTCCATCGATGGATTGGAAGAGAGACATCTTTTTCTTATTTTCCGGCCAGTTATGTCTCGGTCGAGAGTTTCATCAAAGCTGCAAACCTGGAACTGAGTCTGAGTTTGGGCAGTTTCCTTCTCTATCGACCTGTCAGTGCGTGATTCATGATTATCCTTGCGGCATTTCTTCGCACGACGTTTGCTCTGGGCCAGTCCCACATTTTTCGGAACGGTAGTTACCCCTCGGTCATGTTCGTCTTCGCTCTCACTATCTTCCTCGGGCCCTACGTTATCCAAACTTGATGAATCGGAAGTCCTTTTTGACTGCCGTCCAACGGAACGACTACCGTCCGTGGACTTGGACCCTCCTTTAATCAGTCCTCGACCTTTATCAAATCCTTCCTTCATAACGTAATTTGAGCAACTGCTGTAGGAACCAGTAGGGCTGTCGCTGCTTGTGTCGCTGCTTGTGTTAGACCTTTTTGCTGAATTCGGTTTAGTGTAAGTTTTCGTGAGTCTTCCGTCTTCCGGTATGTCGCTCTTCCTAGAATTTCGGACTTTCTTCTCCTGGACTTGATTCTCTGCCATTTGTGCTGCACTGAATGATCGAGTAGGCCCTGGAAAGGAGCTGTCATCACTGCTCTCTTCGATGTCGTTACCACCAGGATGAGTATTCCTAATCATGTTCCCACCTTCACCTTCTGGGGGACCACATCGTTCAATTTCTACAATAAAAGCTTGGCTATTGTCGTCTGCTCCGACGTTGGTGCTACACTTCCCTTTAAGATCAATCGTCGATTCATCTCGTCGTCCTTTGTTTGATAGGTCGGCATGAGTGTTCCCTTCTTGCATAGAGTAGAGCACTTGATTCATGAGACTGGCATCTAAGGAAATCTCAAAACTTACTTTGTCTTCGTCCGGCCCACCAGCTTTGCCGTATGTTAACTGTCCTCCGGGAACTTTCTCGGGTCCTTTCTCGCTGAAAGTCTTAATAAAAGGAATACAACCAGTATTTGACGGGTGGCCAGTGGCTTTCCCTTCGAAATGGTTGGCTACTTCTTCGTTGCCAGGAGAAGATTCATGCAGGAAGAATAGAGTGTGTGCATTACTGGGCTTCCTCCCCAGATGGCTGTTTCTAAAATGCGGAGTATTGCTGGCAGCTCTTGTAAAGCTCGATCCACTTATCGGCCCAGATATCGTTTGCTCACCCATCTCATCTTCAAGTAGCTTGCTTGCTGATCTAGGCTCACTCAGATCCGGATGGTAATTGCGTCCCACAGAAGCATCTCTGGAGAAAGACCAGGTTTCGTTGCTCACGTTTATATACGGTCGCTTCTTACGAGGCGTTCCTATACTTTCCATTCTACATACCTCTTCTCTGTCCTGTGTCTCCCTTGGGTCTGGTTGTTCTAAAGGAGGTTCTGGCTCTTGTTCACTGCTTAGTTTCATCGAAGTGGGAACTTCTTCCACAGCATTTTCTGAACTTTTGGCGCTTTTTCGTCTGAAGATGCTTCCAAAGGATCTTACCCATGATTTTCTCCGGCCTTTGTCAGACCTTTCCTGGACTTCAGTATCCAGCAGCGGTTCCGAGGAGTCGTCAGAAGTCATCATGTCAGCTTGTGAAGCCATCTGAATTATCTACTGCTTGAACAATGACGGTCTGCTACTCGCGAAAGGTTCATTTTCCCTTGTCCCTAGTGTGCTCGTGTCCGACATCATCACTGTACTATTTCTCGTGATTAAATCCTTCCGTCCTCAATTAAACACGATATCGGATCTGAGTCAGGGAGAGTGGCCGAGTGGTTAAAAGCGACAGACTATGTGTCGCTTCCTGCAGGTCCAGTGAAGCACACACAATCGCCACATACAAGTCTTGACGGTCGCATTTGCTGATCGTAACCAGCGTCGAGACTCGAGTGTAAGAACTCCCTCGTAGACTCCAACAGGCATGTACCTAAATCATAACGGGCATGTACCTCTATCTCGACTGGTCTGTCTGAGAGGAGAACAAAGCCCGTGGCTTTGATCAAATTTTGCTGCTACACGAGCTTCTGCTGCAGTAGAAAATGTACGGGACATATAATAGCACATTGATTGGTGGGCATGTTCTCCGAAAGCCCTTCCACTTAGGCAGTAGGGACGAATCGTAGGTGTAGATAAAGAAATCCACCAAGAGAACAGAAACTTTTGGATGAAGTGGAGAGCTGTGCTGATGCTCTCGCCATCCAGGATTTAGAAAGGTAAGAAAGGTTGTGAACTGTCCCTTCACACCCCGAAAACTATTCCTGTTGTTGTATGTTGATGTAAACCCCGGTTTCGAAATTTCTGGAATTTCGAAAAGAATATGGTGTTGACAGCAGGACCCATCGAACATCCTCTTAGCCTCCAGGTGATACACAACTTCGTACGCCAGGTTTCGCAAAACAGCCATCGGGTTTGCAGTGGGCCCCGGTAATATGTATCTTACCAAGCCCAGTTGGTGTTGAGCAGAGGCGAAGGGCGCATTTGTGAGAACGCTGCAAGGCAGCCACTTGTGCCGTGTGCGCGACTTGGGGACAGAGTTCTGTCAGAAATGTACCTCACAATGGATGTACACCGAGACAGGTCATGCGGGTCTGACAGCTAATCCGTCTGTGCGTATCGTAGCACGATACACCTCTCTAATTTCTGGTACTTTCCCGAGCATATCCGAGTTTTACAGGAAAAAATTGCCGATAGGGATGACTTGATGCCAGGCGAGTAAGCCAGTCGTATTCCACGGAAGGAGATTTGCCGGGAGTGACGTCCCTTTAACACATGCGGGAAGATTTGGGCTCTTCTCTTCTGTTCTCCCCATCATCAGAGAAGCACTCTCGAGCACAACAGTTGCTAATCCGCCAACTTGTTGGGTCACAAAGTTGGCCGAGATGTCAATCTACTTTCAGCTGACCGGATGATCAATCACACCGCTGTGGCTTCACCAAACGTTGTCAATTTTCATGTACTTCAAAATTCTGAAATCCGTGGGTGAAACTGACTAGGATCAGAGCTAATCTTGTTCCAGCTACATCATAGGTTTGTCCTGCACCCCTCACACGGAAGGATCGAACATACCCAGGGCCCAGCTCGGAGCAGAGTGTTTTGAACATAAGTTCGGCCGACCCATGGATCTTGTCCAGTGTTTAAACCCTACGAACAAGACAAATGTATTATCATGAACTTCTGAGCGCAAGACGCTGTCGATAGGATTCTCTGGAGTCTTAGAATCCCAGATAAGGAGACATGGTGTTGTTCACTGATTTGTGAGACACTATTCAGGGCTTCCTCGAGATTGAACGGCTGCGACCATTGACAAACCCCAGACGAAGCATTCCTCAAGGTCCGGGGAGAATGGCCCGCTGCATTTTATCCGGCGCGTAAGATTCTTCCCGCACCTCATGAGGACAATCAGTGCTCTGAGCCCTTCGACACATGATTGTCCAGTGTTCCGAGGCTAGAGCCAATGGCTGAAAGGGCAATACGGCTGATCGGTGAGTTCAACGTGATCGCAACATTCACGAAGGTTTAGCGGCGACTTATCGTCCAGGATGTAAATCTACCTGCAGGTACATACGTGCGTTGACGGGTTGTACATGGGAAGGCGGAAACGCGTATATTGTTCTAACCAATTTTCTTCCTCCGTAAAGGATCCACAGATGCAATAGCCTCTTGGTCGACGTCAAGATAGCGCTGGTTTCGGAATGAAACACAGCGGTGAAGGAGAAGACATAAGTCTCTACGAACACCAGGATGTGACGCCTGGGGAGGTGATGGGTGAGAACTTCATAAAATTGTCGAGCGAATAAAACTCAAAGTTTGGTATGCAGAGTCATTCCTCAACTCGCACATTTCCTCATCCCAAGGGTTGTCTGTGGCGCTTCAACAAGAAAGTGCCTGACTTGCTCACTCCGAACAGACTGGATGTGGAGCTTCAACGCCTCCCCCTTACACGCACATTGTAACCCAACCTCCCGATCTACCAATTCTCCTCGACCTGTGATTCTCCAACCAGCACGAAACACAGGCATGCACGTACGTATGTACCCTTTCATTCTTGGTGCATTTCCAAGAACCGTTCGAAGCCGGAGGTTCAGTTTACCCCCTAACCAAAACTTGGCGTCAGGTTAGAACCGCCGGTGGCGCAAAGCAACGACCAAGATGATCCTCAACGGACTGAGCAAAGCCTGTCCCTGATCACTCACCCCTGAAGGAGACCGTTCCGCTCTCCCTTATTTACTGCCCTTGGTTCGCTAAACATCCAGTTAACAAACTGCAGTGGACAACGTGGTGTGAACTGTGCAGTGCGGAACCGACAGGAGGATTAGAATTGACGACGGAAAGAATGTTGTGGTCTCGTACATCACGCCATTCGACTGACCAGCTCTCGTTGTGCGTGCGTCGGGCTTATAAACATGTGCTGAAGCTGAAGAGTAGTACAGATGAGCAAAGGTTTTACCCAGAGGACAGCAAGTCTTTGTAGATACGTGATAACTCCTCATGAGCCGAAGAAACTGGTGCCGAGGTTATGGGAAATCAATCCAGTCGACTCTGGAGCCATTCAATCTTGTGAATTAATCTGAAAGTTGTGACGCGACGAACATTTTACCTGTACCAAAAGTTTCTTGAATTGGCGGCTGGCTGTGACTCAACGCCGAACTAACTTCCAGCACCCGGAAAGCAAAAGCTCTCCCCTTCTTCTGATCTCGTCTCACGCTGTCGCTATATGCATCACGACCGCGCACTTCTTTCCTCGTAAACTCCAATCTTCGTCTCTCTGCCCAATAGAATGCATTTGAAGCCAAGGTCAGGACGCTCAACTCAATGTTGTCCACTGTAGGATGGAACACAAGTTCTGAATAAATGTAAATCAAGTCCACGGGGATCGAGAACATTAAAAACCGAATTCCTGCACCTCGTGTTCCAAATTCTTCGAGTCAATTTCATGTCAGTGGGACATTCCGCGTCATGTGTCATCCTTGCTGCAGCTCGGTCCATTGTCGGAGCTGAAACCTTGCATCGGGAGAATACAAGCCAGAGCAGGTTCTCAGCATTGCCACGCTCTGGTCCATTCGTGTGATACTGGGAGTCCTTCCCACGCACGAGCAGCGTCGTCGCTCCTCGCGGCTCATTCTTCCGGTTTCCTGGCGCCCGAGTTTATGCCGCTCGCCGACGGCTGCCGGAAAGCGCGCGGCGCACCGGTCATGGAACGCGAGCGCATTTGCTGTGTGTAACGCTCGCACGCCAGCTGGAAAACGTCAGTCGGCTGGTTCTTGGTCTTGGGATTTCTTGTCCTGGATTCATGAGAAGGAAGCCATACGGCGGTCGAATTGGTGGGCCATAAGTTTTTCCAGTTCCACATCACCAGGTGTCTTCGGGGATTTCAGGTTGGTCTGAGCGGACTTTCTACGCCTTCGCGCATCGAGCACCATTTTTCGGCACATCCGCTCCTCGGTTTTAGGACTTTCACTCCGTCCTCATCCCTCCGGCTTGGCGAATATATCCAATGTCAAATTTTGGTTTCTCATTTTAGCTCTATTCTCCTTTAATTCATTTAAAAAAAATCTGATATTTTTTATATTTATGTTAAATGATTATATAATAAAGATATAAATGTTCATGACCACATAATGAAAAATGACTGCAAGTAGATTAAATCAGGGAAATATAAACTATTACTTCAAACAGAGAAATATATCAGTATGTATTTAAATTCATGCCAAATTTAAGTATAAATGCATCTTGTAAAAAATGAAAGCCATATCATCATCATCAACTAGTAACGTGGATTGAGACCGTTCATTAAATTGTTAAGAACCATTACTTTGCTCGATCTTCATGTCCTAGCATGTCAAAATTCACCACTCTCCCAACGTTCTTATACTTCTCACCTTTAAAAACTTGCTATACTTCTTAGAACAACTTCTCATGCTTCATCATGAAAATCTTCATGACTTATCTCCCCCTCTCATACTTACAGGAAATCTTGACTTTATTTTTCTCGTTCAATAATCCAGATTTCTTATTCTGAATCTAGTCATTGAACTAGAACTAGAAGAAATTGACTAAAAGATGAATTGAGGGGGATATTGTTGGAATTAACTAAGATTTGATCTAAACTCAAGTTATTTTATTTTTTTGTTATGATTAAGATTAGTGTTCATAATAAAATACAGATCCAAAACTTTTTTGGTTTGCATTCATTTAAATCATTTGATTCTTGTGTAAGTAGAGGTTCTTGCGGCAATGATGAACCATGAATCCCGTAATCATGTGTCGACGTTGCAAATGCATGAACATATGCTTCTGAATTGTAGTAAAAAAACTCATGTCCTTGTTAGATTATGTTGATAATGTACAAACAAAACAAATCTTCACTGGATATGTGTTTATATATGATAAAATATGCACCAGTTCAAGATATAAGTTGTCAGTTGAAATACAAAAATGAAAAATATAATGATAGTAGGATTGGTGAAATAAATTTTTTTATTTAAATATATTTATCATTAAGATGTGATTTAAATATAGTAATATCAATACTTATCATGATAACCAAATTACATTACATTTTGTGACAAATCAAATAATGAATAGCAAAGCATAACATATAAAATCTACAAAACACATTTTATTGAACACCGATTTATTGAATAATGTGATTTTTTTAGAAAGATGTTAAACTAATAAAAATTGACTTTAACTTTGATGTTGATGAACATAATTGATTTAAATATATTTAAAAGATATCATGCTACTTGCAGTTACTTATTGATTTGTGTGGTTGAGATTAACTACACTTAAGTAATAATATTCTTCTATGTGTATAATTCATTTAAACAAATTTTTTTATGGTGTAATTGTATCATAAATCTTTCCTAAAAGGACAACTTGTTAATTACTAATTGAAGATTTAAAAATTTTTATAAATCTTCTTTTATTTATATATACAATGATATAAAATACATTAAATGTTACTACATGTTATTGATATAACTTTTATACATAAATTATTTATTTTTAAATGCATCACATTTTTTTAATTCCAAAATATGAATTAGATAAATAAAATTGCAGTTTTTTTATCACATATTGTGTATTCAAAGGTTTTGAAAATACACAAGGTAGATAAATACAAAAAACTTGTATTGTACAAAATATTATTCAATTGTGAATGTTAAACATAAATCTTTTTTTATTTTTAAAATTTATGTTGTATTTATTATATAGTCATGATCATTTTATCAATTATGTAAATACTATTTCTATGAACACATATCAATCAGTAGATAAATATTTTTATAATATAAATTACTGTCAGATATCTTTTATACATTTTCTTGTAAGAAAAATATTTAATTTAGGGGACAAAGTTTCACTAGAGAACATTCAAATACCAACCGAAAATATTAACCGTGCACTTACTGTTCTTTTGAACAATCTTATCAAAATCATTTTGAACAAATATTTTCCAAATAACAATTCTCAACGTCTAATAATATTACTAATATTCTCACTCGAGAAGATTAATCCGAAATTCCACGGGACATCTGATGTATTAAGAAGTTGAACTTGTGTTCCATTTAAATGCTAGATTTAGAAGTATCTTATCTCGCTTTTCGAAGATCTCCGGTCGCAATCTACAACCCTTCGTGTTACCTTCAAGCGATATAATTTTGGGTCCCGGCTCACTCAATCGATGTCGAGCGCAACAACATTCAAGTCAACTATCTCGTGCGGACTCGACTCTGGAGGCAACGGGTTAAGAACCAAGTTTCGAGCGCAACATTCCGAGGCTCAGGATCCCTATGCCTCAGTCGCACTCACTTGCACCTTACACACGTACATGAAGTCATTCGACGCCTCACAGTTCCGCTCAATGCCCGCTCAAGCTCTGGGCGGAAACGGAGGATCTGATCGAGGGTGATTACAGAATACTCATGCCGGAGTTCAAAAGCTTCGGGCGTGATGCAAGGGGGGCCGAGGGTCTTACACCGACATGAGTTCCCGCAATCGGTTCGAGGACTACGGTCCTAGGTCGCATCGGCAGCTGTAGAAGCGGTTTGATGGGTGATGCCAGACTTGCCACTCACTCCCACGCTCATCTCCCTCACTCCTTGCAGCGCCTTCTGTTCCTCCACAGCTTTTTCAAAAGTTACACGCACATGCTCACTTACGGCCATCAGATCCTTGAGAGCGTCCTTGAGAACACTCCGGGCAGACAAGCCTGCACGCAAGAGGGCCAGGCTATAAGTTCAAGGAAAAGATGAACCTGATTGGAGAAGTCATGGTGATGCAAACACTAGGCCGAGGTTCTGCATTCTGATCTACCCTCGATCCATCTGCTGTCAAGTATCCAGACAAGACTTTGAACAGGATTCTTTTCCACCTGTGGTCTGCAGACGCAGATGCACACGCTCTTCCGATGGATGAGGTATCGTATAGCCAACAAATGAGACTCGAGGACTGCACGATCAACCAGACAATTTGTCACGTAGAGAACGGTGTGAGAAGACAATCAGCAGTGAAAACTTGCGGTAGATGTTCAGACTTCCAGAGTCCCTTCTTGAAATTGACTCGAGACAAGCGTGAGAAATATCTTCCCTCCATGTGTACTTGCAGCTCAAAGGATATGTTTAACCCTGAGTATCACCGCTGCAAATCCATCTCGTCCTCGTGACACAGGTATTGAAAGGTGAGCGTAAAATCAGCCGATCAGTAAGCAAACAACGTTGGCTTATCGTTCTGCGTGCACAGAAATGAATGAGCTCACTCTTTGTTGAGAATGTATCGAAGGGAGTTGCCGAGAGTGTGGTCTTCTTCAGTGAGAGCGAATGTCGAGCCTGACTGATCATCAGCGTGATCACCGTACTCCTTGGCTGTCGCCATCGCCTCTATCGTCTTTGAGCAGACCCGACTGTGGTATCCAAAATATATAGGCTGAAGCTGAGACACGAGCAGCAAGCATCTCAACCATTACGCCTTCCATCGCCATCCTCCTCTGACCTTCAGCATGCATCGCAGTTTGGAGCTGTCGATCCCTCGAAACTTCAATTAGGGTGCATCTCCAAAAGATGCTATCAAATCAACCAGAAAATTCCTTCCGAACCTACCCTTCCAGACGAGGAACAGTACCGAAGGTAAGGGTGCGGAACTTGAACTTGTATTTCTTTCGCCTCGCTTTGAATGCAACCTATACTGTATGCCACAAAGATCCAAACTTGAGGGTGGGTAGAATGATGCTTTCTAGTCAAAATCAGAATGTACTCGCCTTGATCACACAACGGAAAACAACTGAGGAGAAGGATGAGTTTGCAAAGTGTAATGTCGCTGAGAGATCTCGGAAATGGTATGGAGTCAATTGTGGAAGGCATAAGAATGTCAAAGTCGGAGAAAAGGAGTGATATCGAGTCAGAGCAGAAGGAGAAGCTTGAGGTATCACAGATCTTCTTCTCGACCAAGTTTCACTGACTGTACGAAGTTAGCTTCTCTGCAAGGTACAATTACTGCACCTGCTGAACGTGATTGGAATGACGTAGTCCGTTTCTTTGTCAGCTCTCGGAGATATCATCGCCTCAAAAATTGCGCAACGTTTAATGGAGAGAGAATGAAATCCAATCACGATTGTGCCATCATGGCTCACAAAAGGTGAGATAGGAATGTGCTTGTGACCTTCGTTTCGTGGTCACCCAGATTTGGAACCATAGAAGATTTCGCTCTCGTAAAGCTATCAGACATCGGCCGTGGTGAACTGGCTCCACCAGCCTCACCGTGTGCACCTGCGAGGATCTGCTACATCTTTGTTTGCGCGCACGAGAAATTCCCTAGACTTCGTTCACATCGATTGTTCCCGTTTCCCAGAAAGTGGTGCCGAAACTACGTTGCTGCTTTTCGTCATACCAAGTAATGACCCTGGGGCTCGTTTCGTGCTTTCAGCGATAAGTTCATTCGGATGATCCTGTCGGTCAGGGTGTCTATGGCTGAAGGGGGTACCGAAGCTTCGTTGTCAAAAGTTTCCACACGAACTTAAGGTGTGCTGTTCCTCTTCCGAAGTCTTTTAGTTCTCTTCTACCCGTCGAGGTAGGAATTTGCAAAACTTACAGGCGCTTTGCCATTAAAACATCTGCACATGCTGACGTGACCCTTCGACTTTTCAATGAATAAGAAAGCGGATTATGCCTTGGTATCGAAACATCCAGCTCTGTCGTACATTAAATATTTGAGTAACTGTGCCCGTCATCGAGGGCTTGTCGAGATAAAAAATTCAAACGATACGTCCTGATTGAATAGTGGTCTTTAATCAGCGAACTCTGATTTCGTGGGCTCTACAGATTTCGGACATCGATCCCTTGATCGGCTGATAGTGGCTTTTGAAAGAAACCATTATGACTATTCGTCATGGATGCAACCCAAAACAGAATCGGCTTTTCAACATCATAAATTCCAAAGCTGAAGCCCTTACAGCGACACTGAAGGAAAGGGTCGACACCCCTACCAAAGGGGTTGTCGATGAATAAATTGTATAGAATATGTTCTACAATGCTTATGGAAGGTGTATTGAAGAGGGTCCCATCACGGCAGCACCACGTTGTGCACGATGTGCATCCTCTCTATACACCAGCTTCAAAGCCTTCTTTCCTGCTCGAGCCTGCCTGCGCTCTTCCTTTATGGCAGCCTGCACAAAAGTAAACGTTAGATTATCTGAACTCCGCTTTTGTGTTCCAGGCTTCGTTCACAGCTGAACCACTCGCATTTTTTGGAAGATGAGGACGTAAAGTGGGAAGAAAAATCGAAAGGTGAAGTGCAGCACGTACGGACATTCGGCAAGCCAACAAATGCATACCTTTCGAGCTTTTTTCTCCTCGGGGGTCTCGCCCGCGCGAGATAGTGTTTTCTTAGCTTCAGAAGACGACTCGGACTTCCCGCTAACAGCGAGCTTTTCATCCTCCTTGACCGGTGCAAGAGCTCTCTTGGGCAGATAATCTAGAGGAAGTTTTTGCTTCCCACCTAGACGAATTATTCCCGTATCAGACTTTTCCAAATCCTGAAGCTTAATCCTATGTTTCATTGGTCCGGGTGCGCTAATTTTACCGGGATGATTGTCCAAGTTAGATAAGGTGGACACTATAGTTTCACAGTCCCAATGCTCTTTCTCTTCATCACTTGCCTCTTCCGTCACCACTTCTTTATCGTCATCACTTCTATACTCTAATGTTTTCCTAATTACAGCATCATCAACTCCTGAATGTATTATCATACTACTCTTGGCATCCTTATCGAAGCTACTTCCGATCGCTCTATCTGCCGCGGAGGGAATGGTGAGCACTTCTTTCTTGATTTCCTCCGCCGGAGTCTCGTATCTTTCTTTGCAATACTGCTTGTCCGTGAGGAACTCCGACAAGACACTACTGAACTCAGAAATATCAGAACGACCTCTTGTCGTTGGATCGTCCTCATCTAGCTCGCCAAAGTCATTGATATCATACTCCCGAAGGGCCAACTGCAAAGTTCGGTGCATATCCAGTCAACATACTACACTCTATGCACCTGGACGTTGAGGCATATCCTCAGATAGTAACGGCTCGGACAGGAAAAAAAACGAAATCTTTTAAAAAAACTTCAGTGACGGCGAACAGAATTGAGGATGATACGAATACAAGTTCATTCAAAGACATGAGCGCAAGAGAATGAGACTGGAAGATAGTGGATCGCTCTCAGAGAAAGAGTTAACCTCAGTGCACAAAGGCGGCAACCTAAATTGTGTTTGGTACACATACCGTCTCGAATTGCTCATCCAGGACGCGTACTTGTCTCTCCTTTCGGGGAAAATCCACCCCGTCAACATCGTAATCTCCATCGCTGTCAAAATCCTCATCAGACTCCTCAACATGACTCTGCTTCGCTTTTGGACCTGCATTTAAAGAACGACCACTGGCAGACGCTCCATTTGCCGTACTGCCTCGCTCCTCGACTCCATCGTTGGCAAGTATGACAAACTCATCCTCCAATTCATCAGCGGAATCAAATTGTGATCCGTCACTGTCCTCAAGGGCAGCGATAATATCTTTGTCAAGTACACCTTCCTTCAGGAGTGGCTTCCTCACCGGTCGGGTGTTTGAGCTCACCAGTTCAATCGCTTTTCGCTCAGCATCCTTACTGTCTTCATCAGTAGGTTGCACTTGTACTTTTGTGGCATCGTAAGCCTGAAAAAAGGGCGAACTCCATTACTTATCTTATTGAGCCAAATTGATCGAGAAACACACATTCTTTCAGGCACCAGAATTATGGCTGCCATGAACATACCTTGACATCTGCACGCAGGGAATTGAGCTCAACTCGCGTTGCCGGAACGAAGGAACCGACTCCCGACGTCCCGATCTTGCGCATGTGCTGCAAGTAGTCATACCCATCGTCAGGATACCCCATCTCGATCAACTCCCGTCTCTTCTCCGCTGAGAGCCCTTTCCGAATAGCAGCCGCTGGCGCACTGCTGCGTTTCTTAGGGGCTGGAGCGACATCCTCCTCCCCGCTTTCCTCATCAGCATCGTCAAATCTCGACTCCTCTTCACCGTCCGAATCGAATTCCTCCCCGTCGCTTCCTTCCTCAATAGCATCTCGATCTCCTGGTCCGTCTCCACACTCAGATTGCATAAAGTACCTAGGATCATCATCCGAAAAACCCTTCACATATCCGTCTCCTCCATCCACACGAGTAAAAATCCTGCTCGGGGCTTCGGAGGTGTCATCCGCCTCGGACTCGCGATAGATGAGCGTGAAGGTAGCAGACTTCTTCTTGTCGATAAATTTCTTCTTCCCCATTGCTACAACGCTGACGAATCCAAATCCGAATTCTGAATCCCCTAAACCCTTCCGAGTCTTCGAGCAAAACCAAAGCAATTGCTGAAACCGTCCTCAATCAGGCGAACCCTCTGAATACTCTAGGGTTCAGAGGCCTTCATCACCTTACGTCGTAAGAACCGCAACATTCTGTAAAGCATCTAGGGTTGAGTCCCTGTATCGCTAAGGGCAACGTGGTAACCCTCCACTAACCAGCTTACTGTACTGCAGTCAAGGGCCACCTCGACCGTATGCCTCCGGGCTGACGGCCGGGGCCCTTAATACGTACACCGTTCGTGCCTTACCGTCACAGTCGTGTGACTCAAGCGAAACTCAACTGCGTAACAGTTAGGTTTTGTGGTAAACTGTAGTCATATCATTGCTTCACAGCTCGTCGACAAATCTCACCGTCACTAACTCGTCACTAACTATAGTAACCATTACCTTTACCTTCTGTCTACTCCATGTTCTCCTTCGCCGCTGCTGGCACCACTTCCACTAAACTCCACGCCACAACGTCTCGAGTGTGCAGTCTACTGTGCAGTCCACAATGTGGACAAATTGCTTATCGTCCTCCTTGTGCGTGTGCTGTTCTTCCTCAGAGGCTCAGACAAATGACCTTGTGCACATTCGGCCCGACTTTAACAGCCCTATGATTCTAGATGCATTTGAACAAGAGGTATTCAGGTCAGTTCTTGAATCGTTGGATTCCAGGGACAGGGGTGCCAAACCTCAACACGCAGCAAAGACAGGGACAAAGGTTCATGTATCACCCGCACCAAGTCTCTCGACGGAACCCCCGACCTCGATTTTGAAAAGTCGGAACAAAAACCTCGACAATGAAGAAGACGAACTGCTCCTGCGGTTGGAATGGGCATAATTAACAGACCCTCGTCATCGTTATCGTCCAAAGCTCTACTTCCCCTACCTCCCGACTCGACGGGCTCGGCCCGCAAGAAGAAGAGGAAGAAGAAAAGTCAGAAGAAAATCTGAAGGACCAAGAGAAAAAAATCGAACGCGTCGAGAGATTTTCCGCAATCGCCTACACCCTCGACGTAAATTCTCATCAACTGCATCTTCTCGACACCCCGAAAGCAAGAAACTCAATGCCGCTGCGCGAAATGTCGATGATCTCCGTGGATCGAGGACTCTCAGCCGAGACGAGACTACATCGCCAGCCAGACACGGCCACAACCTCGGGCAGTGGTTTGGGCTTCCTGAAAGCGAATGAAATGTTTACGGCAGCGGCAATCTGATGATACGACTACAGTTTACCACAAAGCCTAACAGTTACGAAGTTAAGTTTCACATGATTCACTCGACGGTAACGCACGAACGGTGTACGTATGAAGGGCCCGGCCGTCAGCCCGGAGGCATACGGTTGGGGTGGCTTTAGTGAAAAGTGTTACTGCGAATGGAGCGAGAGATTGACACAACCGGTTCCTGCCCTGCAAATCCATGGTAGTTGGTCGGGTGATTATTGGTTCAAGGAACTGGATTTCTCGTATCATTCGCCAGTATCGTAATTTTGAACAAGAAACTTCACTACTCCTTCCATACTTAATACTTACTGATCATACAAATTCAATGTCTATGAACTTCCATTGACTTCTTTGATGATTCCGAAAGTTTTGGTGCAATCAATATCAACTCTCCGAATGATATCTGAAAACTGCACAATATTCAAGTCTATATCACTTACAAGTGAATACTGTGAGTATGCACAATTTAGATCTTAGCGACTGGGAAGTATTTTTTTAAAGCTTTCCTAGGTACCATTGACATGCTTCAATTTCGAATCGCTGGAAATTCAACAATCTTTAGAAGATTTTTGCTTCATTCAAAATTATTTCAAATTTCTCAGAAGAACTTAAATCAATTTTCCATTTCTCTGGCCATAATGAGAATGGAAAAACAATATCTTACAACACTTGCATCGACGTAACAACACCTAGAAAACTTGGTCACTTCAAGTTCTTTACATGAAAGACCCAAGCAAAACGAAAAAACACTTCAAAGTTTTGCGACGACCATCAGTATTTATTCAATATCCTGAGATATGGATAACCTTCCCGCGGAGTCAATCTCCACAGTTGACAAATGACTTACCAAAAACCTCTAATTTGTGTCGCACAAAGCTATTGATATCACTCTTATGTAGTGGTAATTAGCTAGTCTAAGTAGGAATTATTATATCAATTAAACAAGAGCTGAACTAACTCGCTAAAAATGTAAGTTGATCATTGATTTCACAACATAATTCACAGGTTCAATTATTTAAAATTTTCAATTGTTTACATATATATGTAAAAAAAAATAAAAAAAATCTCAACTTTTGAACATTAAAATTTCTTACATCTTGAATTGAAAAATAGTACCAGTCTTTATTTGAGCTGGGCCAGACATAAATCAGATACATATGTTACTCTGAGAATGAATATCCGAAAATAATAAATGAAACATGATATTTATGTTTTAGGTGTTGCTCTATTGGTGAATGATTAGAATATCAGTATGTTGGAAATACGCAGCTCGCTTTCACTTTTATGCTGCTACTTCAAATGCGAGCGGATATATCTAAAATAAGCGAGATTCAGAGAATGAGCTTGAATAATCAACGACGCCCTGCAAGGAGGAGCGAAAAAGTTGCTTCAGAACATACGCTAGTGACACGTGTAGTGGGTACCGAGGTCCATGATGGAAGTTTGGGAAGTCATTCAAGAACCCAAAACTTTCAGACAAAAGTGTTGCAGAACTCAGCGCATGAGCACAATCTTTCAGCAATCAGGCGATCCAGTTTGGACCCAGGTGGACAATCGGAAGATCGTCGACACTTCTCCAGATACTTCCTCATCGCTTTCAGATTTGGATTTGGGACCATGGACCTAAAACTGCATTGAATAAGGGTGAAGAATTCCAAGAACCAGTCAGTGAAGCATTAGATGTCCTGTGCAGGACAATTTAATTACATTATCGTTTCCACATGAAGCCTGTTCTCGTTCAATTGTCGCCTCTCTTTCAATTATAAGAATATGGATGTATATTTAGATCGCTACTTATGAGTGGACCCCTCGGACTCCAGGTTGGTTCCTTGCTCCCCCACTTTTACTTTGCCAAGTCGTTAGCTTTCATGGAAAGGGAGCATGACACAAGCATCACAGACAGCATGAGAAAACCATCCAGTAACAGAACCGAGGGACCTGCAAGTGTGTGTACCCGTCTACGCTGGGAGTACTCCTCACTGCCATCCGTTTTGAATCTCGAGGACGAATGAGAGAATATGTGTAAACATTTCTGTTTTGAATCTCTACAACTTTGCGAGAACCGTCATCCGATGCTTTCATAGTTGGACAGCAGATCAAAGCACACAGCAGAATGTACGTCGAAGTTCTAACTGTTGGCCCTACACTTCCGATCCTCAATAAAAGTTCACAGATAAGACCTTCTTCAGACGACCCTAGGGCTTCCGCCTTTTCGAGCTTGTGGCCTACGGGCCATCAGATAGAGCACGAGGAGGAACGGAGGTGCCGGCTTAGGAGGTCTTGCAATACCCAGTCATGAGGGTCAAACGTTGGTACTTGACCTTCACTGCTAACAAATTAACTGCCAAATTACTAGTTAATGCGTGTAGTAAGTACGGTACGTTCATTGAATACTTGTGTACTTAATGGGTGCGGTCGACTGTACGATATTGTAATGGTACCATATGGACATATTTTCCAGACAAAGGCTTCGTACAAAACTGCAAATCAGTGCACAACCTGAAACATTTCGTGAAAGATATTACGTTACCGATGTTTCCCTCTTTTTCGTGACAACTTTCAATTTAATAAGAAAGTATTCCTTCAACGTCCATCATTTCGCAACATTGAATTCAACATGAGAATGATATGTCTATAAAAAAATTTAAACTCACAAAAGCAAAGTTTCAAGACTGTCATCTTCTTAAAACTCCAAAGAGCTCTAAGGTATAACGCATGTTCACACAATCTAGGCTAGGAAGCATGAGAAGGGACATAGGATGCACTTCAAACTTCATTATGAGTACACGTCTTCACAGTAACTTCATCAGGCGAAAGTTTACTGATTCATCTCCCTTATTTCCAAGAATATGTTCGAGTATGTTGAAAGCAATTAACAATATGATAAAAAATACTAGATTGGAGTAAGATACATTGGTTTGCTCTTAAACTGTAATGGAACATTTTTGTATCTTAATTCAAATGCGTAATCCCACAAGATATGTGACGAGAAAATATCCAAGACCAAAATTATTAACTGTCTTCGAAATACTACTTAAATATACAACATTGTGATTTCACACTTAAATATATGTGATTAGCATGTTTCATATGTTTATTTAATTTGGGCCTAAAATTTAATTTTATATCTATTTAAGAAATCTTCAGAGACAGAAAACAGTTGTACAAAGCAACGAATTACACACAACTCACAATTTACAAATACAAACCATCACATGAAAAGTGTTTGCTTCATAAATGATTTTAACAAGGAAGATTATTTCAATTATAATTGTAGAACGTTGCATCGAGTTGGCTAGCTTTTGAATATACTTACAAATGTTATGTATTGTAAGGGCATGCATACCTGTTGAGACGTTTGGTTCTTGAAGTTTACTTTCAATTTTGACTTATTTAAGAAAAAGATTTTCAACATACTGTGCACATAAGTTCCATGCACAGCTTCAAAAATTCAATCAGAGTGAATTCTTCCTATGTAGATCTTCATGGCTGAAAATATCAATCATTGAACATCATCTGAATCAGCCTTATCTATATATTGAGGTTGTAGTCAACCAAGTTTTTTAATAAGTGAGGATAGAAGAATTAAGATGATCAAATTCATATTGATGGATGCACACAACTCAGGTCACAAAAAATGATTTTCATCTTTACGAAAAGATGTAATTTTGCAATATAAGAATGCATACTCTCTTATATTACAAAATTATTCCTCTTTTGGGATGAAACCTTGCCCTCTATGATCAAAATGAATTGAACTTCACAAAAACTTTCTTTCTATCACTTCCTTATCTTCTCTTGGATTAGTTGATTCTCCTCAACTTTTACTGTTTTGAATAGATGAATTTAGTTGGGAGCAAGTTCTTGTACGATAACAATACGGCATCCTAAAATACTCTTTCCTATTTGCGGAAACATGTGGCAATAAAATATTTTCTTTCTAGTGGATAAACAAACTTGTCCAAGGAAATACTTAAGCTTTCAAGTCCATGCTCTTCAAAGGAAAGTACTTCATCGACATCTACATCGTTGTCTACGTTTCAATCAATCATATCACTCTTTACATGCTTTGTTTAATTTTTAGGACGTGGAGAGCATATGGAAAGTGAACAAAAGGTTATAAGCATGAGTGAAACAATGCACTCAGTATCCAATATGTCATTCACCCTGAACCCCTACCTGTGACCCGAAAGCTTGAAGGTTGACTGCAAGAGTGCACCTGGTTGATGACATGAGAGTCAACAAGGAAGGAATTGCGGCATCCAAGACGGAATCAGCATGACAGTAAACAACAAGGAGCTTGCAGGAGAAAATACTGTGCGCAGATATACACTATATCTGCAAGATGAACATCTGATGATGTGGAAGCACTCTTATCACGGAGGTCAAGGGCTTGAGAACAGACGTGTGGAAGTGTAAGATGGGCGGTTGGTTGAGCAGCAGCAACTCATCTCTATGTGAGCTTTGCAGCGCCGCATCTTGATAATAGATATCGTGAACCAAAAGCAAATCACTTATGAGTTGACCGAAGGTCGTTTGAGAATCCCGTGAGGAGCAGATGTTGCTCAGAAGTTGACATATGCTGCTGCAAAGGACTGATTGGAGAGACATTTCAAGCTGAGCTCCGACCTCGTGATCCCACCTTCGACGTGGATCAGCAACATCTTTTGCCTTTGCCCTCCAAGTTGCATGAAATTTGAAGTCAATGTTTTCAGAAAGTCATGTATTTTCCAGAGGATGATGCTAGTCTTACGGGAGGATATGTATTGATAGAAA